TATATATATATATATATACATATATATATATATATATGTGTTTTTTTTTAGTCGATTAATTTTTTTTCTCCAAACCAGATTTCTCGAGTATTAACACGAGGGATAAATGGAACGCCGCGAGATTCCCTTGTGAGGCGGTCGCAATACGAACTCCAAGTGAAAATTACGACTAAATTTCTATCTAACTCGCTACGATATAAATCATGTGCACCATCGACTCCTCTATGGCCGATATTCGTAAATGACTTACGAATCATCGATACTACTGGATGTCGCTTCGCGATTTTCACGGATAGGCCGGCTGATAACTTTCGCAAGTGATCGCTCAATATATACCCTCCCAATCTATGGCCCGAATTAAGCGTACAAGAGAAAAGAAATCCGTCCGTTAACGGGTGACCCTGTCGTCGCGAGGCATCGATCCGATTGGCAATAACAGTGGCTGGTGTGGAAAATCGAGAGCGAATCCTTATATCGAGGACGGACGGCAAGGAGCTGCGCGACGGACAGGTATCGGGTAACCAACGGTGAAGATCGACGTCTCGCGACTTGAATAAAAATGACCGGCAGTAATACTTGCGAAACAAGACAATACTGGCATCTCAGTTCCGATCCGTGTAATCTATCGAGAATGGGTTAAGTAACGATAACGAGTTGCTGTTGTTTTATCAATACTGCAATTTTCTTGCCATTTCAGCGAGAAGAAAACAAAGGAAAGGTTATCCCGGAAGCAGAGGAAAATAATTGGGGCAATGTTGAAGAAACCAATTCTGTTTTATCGAGTAATTTCCGGGAGGAATAGCTCTGTTAGGGAAGATCACCGCTTGCACGCAATTGAAATTGGCAAGAAAATTTGTTTCGAAACGACGATTCCCCGATATAGCCAATCGTGCGACATTAATTAACGTGGAAGCATATGTGGAAGACGGCGCGAGTCGCTCGCTTTTCGTCGGCGCGTTCCTCGCCAATCGTGTGAGAGCTTTGATTATCGGTTGCGCGTGAGGGTATAGAATCTCGTCATCGAGCTGACATCGAATATTATATCACTCACAATTCTCGACGTACTATGGTACGACGTAATTCATACGGTGTTAATTCGCGCCGATTTGATCGAGGTTCGTTAATCAATCGAAAGTATGCATGTCCTCGAGACGATTCTATTTTATACATCGATCGTAGAATCTATACCTTCCTCCTCTCGTGTATCATTTCACCGCAATTCCCCGCTTGCGCAAAGTCGGGTGAAAAAGTAATAGGAAAGAGCGTGAACAAAATAAGCGGATAAATGCACGTGTTATAATTTACATGTTCTCGAACTGATCAACGCGGCGCTTAGTGTTGCCCTTGCGGATCTCACGAAGCGTTTTATATTTGTCGCGACCTTGGCGTACATTTTCCCTGTGGATCTTATCCATCACCGTTTCCTTGGACTCGTCGCGAGACTGGGCGAGATCTTGCTTCAGTGCCTGTAATACGACACGTGTATTTATAACAACGCGTAAGTCACAAGATTTCCCGCACTTTCAAACTGTCGCAAAAATCCCAAGATATATTCAAACAGAGTGTCAGAAAGAGGAACTTGAAGAGTTTCTCGAAGAAAAGATTGAAACAGGAATAAGCGCTATTTATTACTGGAATATAAAAAAGAAAGTAATCGAACCTTCAACTGATCGTGGAGACGTTCGTTCCTCTCGGCCAAGGTGCGGCGCTCCTCGACAGGATCGATGATCGATTCGTCGGTCGCGAGATCCTTGGTAACGTCACCTTGGGGAACTTCGTCCTCGCCCTCCTCCTCACCCTCTTCGTTTTCCTCAACGTGATGATGATGCGGAGTCGTATTGGCCTGATATGCTCGGTCAGCTTCCTCGTGTCTCAGCCTTACAAATAACAGCATGCAATTACTCTCCGTCAACTGCATGTAGTACGTAAAGAAAACGAAGAGAAAATTACTTGGCCGCTTCGAATTCTGCCTGTAATCTCCTAGCTTCCGCATCCTTTGCCTCCACCTCGGACTGTATGCGTTGCACTTCCTCTTGCTTGGCCCTGATCTCCTGTTCGAGCTTGGCGCGTTCCGCAGCCTCCATTTCGTGCGAGAGTTCCAACTTCTCCATCATCGCCGTCAACTCCTACGAGGAGTGAATAACGTTAGAAACCGATTTGAACTGGCCAAAAGATTGGAGAGGAAGATAAACACCTTCTGCCGATTTTCCAGCTCTTCCTTGGCAGCCTGCAGCTGTTTCAGCTGCTCCTCCAAGCGCCGAATCATTTCCTGAGCCTCGTTCAATTCGACCTGCCGCCTATCCATTTCTTCCGCCATATTTCTTAGCCTCTCCTCGTACTCCTGCTGCTTCTTCTCGGCGCGTTCACGAGCGGCTATTTCCAATTGTAGTTTCTCTCTCTGTTGCTGCTTCGCTATTTTTTCGTCTCTCGCTTGAGCCTAAAATTTCGATCTTTTTCAACTATTTCATAAAATGACTTAATAATTAACGAGCCGCTATACTTTACGTAAAAATCCAACGCACGACTACGCGGTTACGTAAAATATGTTACATAAGCTTACGTATTTTAGATAAGTAAGTAAACGCACGAATACTCTAGTTTCGCTAAATTTTACAGTTAATGCCGCGACATAATGATGCCCCATTTACACAGGTCTCGTACCTTCATCTGCTGCACGTCGATCGTGTCCGGCTTACGTCTGCGCATGTAGAGCTCGTGATTGCCCATGCACAGCGCGAGGATTCTCTTGTTAATCTTGACTCTGGTGGCGAAAAATACAAAGTCCGGCGCCTTCTTGTCGATCGGCTTGATTATGAACTTCTTATCGTTGAACGAGATATTCCGTATCTCGGACCAAGGGAAACCGATTTTCGGCGTAAGCTTATCGTCCTTCTCGTAGATGTTCAAACCTAAAGCATCCACACCCAACCAAAGGTCTGTGCCCTTCTTGTTGCGAATTTCAAAGTAATTCACACCATACATCTCTAAGTCCTACGGAAAATAAAAAACAAAGAAAAATACTAAAACGATACACCAAGTCCGAGAGTGGCGGCGGTATGACCTTCCGCGCGGGAAAAAGAATATATTTGGAAGTAGAAAAGTCGAGCCGTATTCTCCTCCGGAAAATTGATGCAAATACACTGGCCACTGGTGTATTGATAAACATCTTTTCACAACGTGATAACCGGAAAGATTATGCGAATAATCGCCAAGTATATATGTGCCCGGTAGTCAATTGATAAAAGGAATTTGCAAGACACACAAGGCGATCTATGTAACGTACGAAAGTAAATTAACATTTTACTATGTAAACTTTGATATTATATCTCGACATTTGAAAGATCTTTCTGGATTTGCAGCCGCTACCTAAACAGATACCTGAGCAATTTTCAGATACTCCATCATGGCATCCTCCCGCAACATGCCACGGTGCTCTTGCCACCAGTTCGTAATCGAGCTGTCCCATTCTTCCTTGCTCATCTTATGCTGGTCGACGACGCGCTGCGGCAACAGCCGATCGTTCGCCAGGAAACCAGCGGGATGACTACCCTTCTGATAGTCGCCGTGTCTCGCCTGAACGGCGTACGAAGCTAATAGGACGGACGTTTCCGGTGGGCAGTATATTTCATCCGTGAGGATAGCATTCTTCACCTGCAACCGTTCGCAAATGTCACTTAATTGCTTCAATATACTTGATTAATCAAAATTGGCCGATATCAATTAGATTCTCTCGAAAGTGAGATCATACGGAAATACAACTGGCGTTTTCTTTACCTGAAGATAGAAAAGTCGAAGCGTAATATCCTGTATGAGTTCCTCGGCGACATCCTCGGGATAGAATTTTGCACGGAACTTGAACTGCAGTGGAGTCTCCTTCTTGACCTCCTGGTTCATCACCTGCAAACGTTTGAAAAATACTAATGACCCCGCTCAAACTTGGTCTTCGAACGAGGGTCACATTTGAGGGACGCTCAAACGTGTGGAAAACATGCACGAACGTGTTTTGTAGGATGATAGTGCGAACGAATCCGTGATGCACGACGTGAAAATGAATGTAAGCTGTGAAATATCTCATCGAAAGAGATGCGACGCACTGTAAACATATATACATTGGCATATATTATTGGAGCGGTGTACAGTAATACCTCAATTGCCTTTCATTCATCTCTCGGGGCATGTTGATGAAATATTTCATCTACTATTGAAAATACATCATTTTTCATGTAAAACTTTTATCTCACCGTCACCACTCGGTGAAAATGCTCTTTCGTCGTGTGTTTTTGTGCTCTAATGTATGCATACGTTTGGCAGTTGCGAAAAAAGTCTTTGTGGCTCTAAATTAATCAACATAACGTACATTAAACATCTCGTATATTTGTTCTCCGCAAGTGTCCCGTTGAGAACTATTTAAAAAAATATATATATATATAAAGATAAGACGGCAAGGTATTGTATTATTAAACTTGTTCACACGCGTGTGCGTAAAAATATCTTAGATAGCTTCCATTTAATGATTAAGTGTATGTTACCGGTGAAATGTACTGATCGAGCTTCGATAAATTATAATCTCTCGGGGGACGATTTCGTATAAATCGAGTCGCGATCACGATACAAACGACGTTACGTTACCTTAACGACACTTGAAACGATAAGTATCGCGCGAAAATTAAATAGAAAATTGGAATACTCGAGGCAAAAGTATTTCAGACAATAATTTTATACGCGGTAAATGCATTTGCCTTTAGTTATTCTCTCATTATACATTCTCATGGAAGTACACGTTCGTATCTTATCCAGATATCACTGAGAGAACTTACGTCATAACGATAGTCGGCTCTCCGAGAGTTTATGCTGCTTGCGTTCGCTGTAGACTACTTATCTATAATTAGCGACGAGTAAAAATGTCGCGTGGAACAGTGTAGCTCAACTGTTTCCAATAAACACTGAAAACATTTCTAACAGTTATCGCAGCGACACAATGTAGCGCGATGATGCATTCCTCGTGATATCTCGAACGCAATAGATCATATTATAAAATATTACCCAAGTAACATACTATTTCCAAATTTACCTTTCTCCTCTTGTTTTTTTTTTTTCTGTCACTTTTACTCCTTATAACAACTGCCAAAACGCGTGATCGATTATCTACACAATTCGTATTATTTTAGAAAAATCCCGTTTCATACACATGCGATGAATGTTGTTTCAAAAAATATGATTACTGTAACATTTTTTCGCAAAGGTCACTCGACCAAAAAATAATGAAAAATAAAAAAAAGTGAAGTGTGTGTAAAAGATAATAAAAGAGATAAGTGATAAAAAAATATATTACGTCTATTTCATATACAAGGATCATGTTACTAAATTGATCAACGAAGTGGAAAAGGAAGCGAATATCGCCGCTAAATCAATCACGTGAGAATTAATTTCCGCGATTAAATATGCCTACGCAATATGCTGCCAAATTTTGTATCGATGCCATGTAAACACAAATATCATCAACGGCGTATCGCTTCTACTTATAATCAGAATACTTAAAATTCCGAACGCTGAGGTAAGAGTTAGTCGAAATGAAATGTAAGAAACAGAGAATCTTCGTGATCTTACGTGGCAGATTTTTTTGGAGACCGCACGGAACCACCTGCAATTATTTGCCAACATCACATAATATTCTTTGTTAAGCCACTACATGCATTTGATCAAAGATAGTTTCCACGTTTAACGTATATATTATGGAGAAGTAAAACAAAAATAAACGCGAGTCAAATTATCGTTAAATAAAAAATTGCGATACACACGCCTTTCAAGGGCCATATGTGCAATATTAAAATAAAAAAAAAAAAGCAAATCCAAGATGCAATTTCTCGCGAATAAACTAACCGTCGATTTGAGTTGAATACGTTTCAAGGACGTCATTTAAAAAATCACCAGTCACGATCAACCGGGCGATCACGGGCATGATGTAACAAAGTAGAGAGTCGCCTTCTTATCAAATAACATATGATACATTACTATTTTTACATCGATGCGAAACGAGAGATCTTATTCTAATGAGTATATCGCGCCATATACTCGCGTCTGTTTTACCGCGTACAACCAGTTACATCTTGTAAATCAAGAAAAATGATAGGTGGTTATATTTGTTCGTACAACAGTTTGGAAAGACGGAACATTCCGCGAATTAATTCGTATCGCTAAACGTGCTTCACTCACAACTCTACACGACTCTAATCCAATACTCGCAACTTACCCTAGACAAGAACGAAAGTCCACTCTTCCAGTTGTTAGTATTGCGGTTGGCATGCGTCCAAAGAATAAAAATATGGTCAAGTTAAAGTATGCGTATAAACCATCCCGCGTGTCTCGGCAACGAGCGCGTCCTTGAAATTACTGTGCGTTAGGTTTAGTAGCACCAAATAAGCAGCATGGTTCCAGGATTATCTGTGTATGTACTGGCAATAATTTGAAGGACTGCGTCACGCGAGGGAGTTCGGGAAAGTTTTGCATCTTATATTCGATATTTTCAACAATATATACGTCTTTTACACGATAGTAGATGATGAAAGTAGATTTCGGCCGGTCTGCCGGAACAAATGAGTGGAAGAATGGATGATTTCCTAAAAATCGCAAATTATTTCAACAGCCAACCCTGAAAATAATATTCCTGTGACGTCTTCTACACAGCTAGATTCCAAAAGTAACCAAGAGATTTTTTGAGTCTTGTATGCTCGTATCGATAAATAAAATCTCCATCTGCCTTGGTACCGCTTAAAAGAAAAAAGTAGTATTTCACATAATTCGAAAGAGTCAGTCGGCGTAAGGCGCGGAGAAGAGGGCAGCAGAATGACACGCGGAAAGCGATGCATCGAGTTGCTGCTAGATCCTGTAACACATTACGTAACACAACAGTCCACAGTCCGTGGCTGAGGAGCGCACCTGTGTGAATTGCCTTTTTCGACCTGTAACCTATTACGGAGCAGCGCCGGTGATCAAGCATCCCTGCCCAGAGACATCGCCTTCTTCGTTTTCTAAAGGCGACACTTTTACTACCACACAGCCATTCTGTCGCGCGACAGTAAAATTAGATACAAGAAGACGAAGGAATTCTGGGTTTCTCGACGAGAAAATGTTGTCTTACTATACAATCTCGTTTTCTTACTTCCACTTTTCCTACTCTCGCGTAAGCTTCCGTCAATTTCCAACAACATTCTTTCATTCGTCTTCCACTTGTGTGGTATCTCTATCGCGTATCTCGATAGATTCCGTGACTTTGTCATAAAATCGGTTAATCGAGCGATAAAAGAACGATAGAGTTGTCTGCATTTCGAAGAAAAATCTCCGTGCTAATCCAGGTCTGAATCATTTGAACGAGCGCGTGCTTCACGGTCATAACAACGAATTATGATTCAATTAGCGATAAATTCATCGGGCGGTTAATTGCGAGCCGCACACTACCCGGCACGATCAAAAGCATTAGCCACAAGTATACACGCGTTATCGCAAAATTCCGACCGTATTTTTATGTTTCAGCCGTTGATAAAAGCTGTCATTCGCGCACTAATAAGAAACACGTATCGATATCGCCCTTCCTCCAAAATCATCTCCTCTGATGTCATTTGCGGCAATTTTTTACTACTCGCCGGACGAAGGTAATCTCAACGAGCGTATCGCGCTCGACAAACACTCGCGCGCAAGAGAGTCGACCTCTGTTAAAGGGTTAATACTAATTGGGAGAAAGTGACGCGCCATAAGAAGAGAAAAGTGGAGTAATCAACAATTCCGCGTCGCGAATCTCACGTTAGGTTTCCCGCATCGATTGTAGACGCTAAATTGTCGAGACAAAAGGTTTCTTTTCCGCGACAGACGACGAAAAACTCTCTCGCGCTTTCTCGTACGAAGAAATTCCTTAGGCGGTTCCCCGAGTGACTCATTGAGTGGTATTTTCATACAACTGACGTAACACGCTCGATTGGATCGTTTAATAAGCGATACGCGTATCGGACAATGCGCGCGAGGGCGATCGACCCCTTCCCTTCCTCTTTATCGCACATCTGCGACGCGATAAACGTTTCTACGAAGACAATCACGGCGCCCTCCTTTTAAATCTCTGCTCTCCTCGAGAGACTCGCCAAACGGCCGACAACGGAATGTAGTAACATCCGAAGAATCCGCTTTTTGTCATACGAGCGGATGATCTCTACTACTACGGTTTTGCATTCGTTCCATTCGATTCTCATCATCATTTTCCGGATATGATATTTTCTCTGAGAAAAGGAGAATTGTATCGACGACCTAGCATATCGACTCCTTCGATCTATCGCGGGTAATAAAATGGTACAGACATCCCCTATCTTCTCCTACCGATCCCACAACTTCTCTCATATCAGGAGGAATCTCGGGGAACGGGGGAAGATTGTGTATCTTTTCTTACCAGACCGTCGTCGAACTCGTCGTCGTCCGTATCCGAGTCTGAGCAGCCTCTCAGCTTTCGAACTTTCTTTTTCACTTCCTTCTTCACCACCCTCGCTATCGCACTTTCCGGCTGCGTGCAATCGTTAACGGAAAAATTTCGTGTTACCCACGCAGAGAGCAAATACACTCTCTTCCCTATCGCAACGCGTTAAATCCATTTAAAAGCTATTCTTCTTTCCCTCGCGATAAATGGTTGCATCTTTCTCTCCCTCCCTACTTCCCTCTCTAGCAGCACATTAACCTATATATTCTTTCTCATCTTTGTTCTCTATTCACCCGCGCTGGAATCTAGCTCTGATGTTTTATTTATTGCGCAGAGAAGTGTGCTACGCGTATCTAAATGCATTTTAAAGTGCGTAGCGATATCGCGTAAAATAGCTCCGCTACGATTTCAGCCGTATCACTTATTTCACTACTTTCACCTTGGATTCTGCAAGTTTGACGATTAGTATAACTAATTTCTACGAGGAATTCGATAAATCTAGTCTTTATCGCGCGTGCCTAAGTAGAAGCAACAAAATTACTCTATAACGCGCTAAAAATGCTCGTTCGCAAATGGTATCAACGATTCGACGCTAAAATAGTAATTTGATTCGAATGTTTATTGAATTAATGGTATGTTCAAAACAGATATTCAGAAGGATGAGACCGACCCGAGTGTCGTTAATAAGCCAGCTGATGTTCAGATATCGACTAGAAGTCCGCGTTCAACCATTTTCACCCGGCGAGTGTCGTTTTCCTCCCCATGGGAGAGGTTTTCCTATCGAAGATGTTTGAAAGTCTGCAAAAAGATCGTTCGAGGGAAACGAGAAAACCGACGACTCGCTGAAAGAGACGACTAGTCGAGCGAGAAGCAGCGACTGTGTCAAGGTGAAGGCGCGTCGCTAACCAGCCGGTGAAAGCCGATGAAGTAGCGTCGTCTACCTGCGAGTAACTGGCCTACGAGTAACTGTACTCAGACTCGAAAATTGAAGTCACTCGAACAGGTAGTAAAACCGATGCACTAACTCGTCGAGCGCGCGCTCACTATTAATTAACGATCCTTCAAGATTTTGCGACAGGATCTAATACAAATGAAATCTTTATGGTAGGTTCGCGTATAATTGTAATTCTTCAACTTGTGTGTTCTCAACAGAAAATAAAGATACATATATATATAATGAAGACACGACGAAAACCAAAAAAAAAAAGAAAAAACGAGCCTGATGTCGTCGAATTTTCCGTAAAATTACCTACGGATGCAATCTCGAAAGGAGAGTAACGCTTCGAAAGTTTCTTGAATGCGATCTGATATGCACCGGTAGTTCCTGTTTCTGGCCGCGAAAGTTGCCCGCGTATTGGGACACTTGACGAACGATTGAAACATTTGAGGAGAATGTTGAAATGATAAAAAGAAAATGTTAGAACATTTCGGATTTTCGAAATAAAGCGATTCTGAAAGCGTTATAACGACAGGGAAAATCATGCGGTTGTAATGACGTCTTCAAGGGAAAAAAAAAAAATCGTCAGAAAAACCGCACGATCAGAAAAAGAAACATAAGAACACGTGTCTCGCACTTGAAAGCAGATGACGTCAGCGTTTGTCACCGGCGAACCAAGAACACTTTATCATTGGTAGTGCTGCAAAAATACTCTGTCTCGCCGAGAGATAAATTTCAATATGTGCATATAGTTAAAAGAAATCAAAAGAATATCGATTTCTAGAAAGTCTCGATGTTGCAGCTACCTAAAAACAGGTTTCGTGTGAATCGGCGCAACGTACTTCACCATCGGTGAATACGCTATTTAGGACCCTTCGCATTATCGCCAGGATACTACTCGCGTGTAATTCCTTAGGAAGTCGGCAATTACTACTTCGTGCATTAATTCCATATACTTTACGTGAGCGTAAGCGTAAATCTGATGTACACTCGACCGCAAAGATACGCAAATTACTTTGCATTATACAGAAGGCGAAAATTTGATGCAGATATTTAATTCGAAGCCAACGACAAAGTTAACGTTTACTTGAAAGCTATCCCCGTTTACTGAAAGCTAACCTTAAAGTAGAATGAGTTGAAACCGACTTTTGAAATCCAAGTTTTAAGCTATTTCTATAAAAAAACATCGATCCCTCCCGTCGTGCAAGTTATTGTACGTAAACCAATGTTTACAATACGAGATTCATACTTGCGAATTTTTAGGAATGACATCACTTAAAAATAGAAGAATATCTGATCTCTTATTTTCGTATAGTTTGGCAAATTATGTTATTTGGCCTTCAACGTATCTGCTAGAAATCTGAGAAATTGCGAACTTTTCTCCGCTATTTCGCGCAAAAGTTTACATGGAAGATTCAAACTTGTAAATCAGATTAATTAATACTTGCTGACCAATATTCATCTGCAATTGATTAATATGTCAATGGCTAGATTTGAGTCTGCCGTAATCAAAAGGTTTAATGGAAGCCTGACTTTATTAATGTGAATTTATTTCTTCTTTCATTTTCTTTGCCTTAAATCATCAAAGGGTTATTATATCCCGTTAACAAAGAATATGAAAATGTGTGTTTTTTCCCTTCTTGCCTTCTATATTTTACGTTTCAACTTCTACTACAACTATGCTTTACCTTCTAGTTGATACATCTCAAAGTTATAATTTTATCATATATATATAGTTATAATTTTATCATATATATATATATATTTTATCATATATATATATATGATAAAATTATAACTTATATATGGTTGTAGAATATTTGTCCGTTCCGTTTGTTCTATATATATATATATAGAATTATGATTCGATAAAGCGGACAAATATTCTACAACCACTTGAATATTGCCAGACTGATATTTCGGCAATCCATTTTTTTCTTCATTCCGAAGTTACAAACGATACGCACGGTCTCGAGTGTCACGCGATAATGATAGCACAACCGTCGGTTTCCAGTATCGACACCGAAAATTGATCACGGTGGAATTTAGCTTTCGGCGAACAAACTGCTTTCAAACCGCCAGCAAAGCTAGCGCAAACTTCAGCAACCGCAAATTCAATATTCGCCGTGAATAAAAAAACCGAAAAGTGACATTGTGCGACACGTTTATAATTTAATATCGACGATAAATCGCCGAGTAAAAAATGATCGAGAGAAGATTAAACTAGGCTACGGTACAAAGCAAAAAGAGAAGGAATGCGCAAGTATCCTACCTTCTTGTAGAGCTTGATCCAGGTGAGATCGCCCTTATTGTCGGTATACTGGAGGCCGAAGAACCACACCTCGCGCAGTCCGATCGTCTTCACGACCTGATCGAACAATTGCTTCCCGGTGGTCGTCTGCTGGATCGCAAACTCCAGCTCGGCGTCCATCGTCGTCACCCTCACGTTCATCTTCGCGACGCAGAGCATGCAAAAATAATAATGGCGCCGTCAGATAACGATGAAGAGCGTCATCAAGTCGGTGTTGTATAATTTCTCGGCGAATTCTTTCTCTCGACAAATTTGTCAATCTGAACGCACCGCTCCCGAAATATCCCGTAAAGTTTGCGCGAAGCTAAAAAAATTCCCGTTTGAGCGTAAATGAATTTGCATCGCGATGTGAAATCACCGGCCGGCTTACCATCTTAGCGCCGGCAACCATGTCTGCGAGAATTCGTTCAGTAGGAAAAGGGTAGAAATGTTCGGCGGCACAAACGCGACGGAATGGAGCGAAATTTGACTTTTGATCGTGCGCGAGCGAGCCCGGTCGACCTTCGTCGGTCTCGAGCTAGACAATGGGGCCGAGCGCGCGACGAATGCAACCGTCCCCCCCCCCTTCCCTCAAGCGCCGTTCCAGCGAAAACGCAACGATGCAACGTTTCTCCCACTATGTGAACGCGCGCGCGAGCGTGGTCACGTGAGAAAGCCGGTCCTCCAATCGCGAGCTACGATACGCGCGCGGAAGGAAGCGGCCCCGCCTGAGGCCCACGTAATAACGATTAACGTTTTTGAAAAGTGGCGCGCTCGATATCGCCCGATTGGCGGAAGCCGGGCGACCGTTGCAACCACACGCGTGTCTCCGCTAGTTAATTTCATTGCGTAACTTTTCTGCCGAGGCACGCTTTTTACTTACGATCATCTTACCGACTGCTTGTTCTCTTGGTTGTAAATATAAATCAAACGGAACGTATGAAATTTATCGACCAAGAGACATCACGCGAAACTAGCTGGGGAAAATTGACCCACGATCGATCCGTAGCTTTAACGACGACTACTCGGGAGAAAAGTGTTAAATTTCATGACGGCTTTTCGCGCGACAGAAAACGGGTATTCCTCGGACGCGTCTTAAGAGCGATGCCTTTCACGTTGCCATATACCATAGCATTCCTCACGTCGTCGTCAATACCGGTGAGAAATAAAAAAATCGACTTGCACGAGTGAAGAATACCACAAATTCCGTTAGTAATGCCGAAACGATTCAAATAATTTAATACGCGTGCTTTTCTCGCTCTATACAATTGGAACTCTGCGCGTAAAGAAAAAAAAAAAAAGATAAAATGAAACAGAAGCTCTGCCGCAATCAGCAGACACCGCGTAATAGTATACACATAGTAATGTTTCATTTCTGTGCGCAAGTGTTACCGCCGATCCCAATAAAAGATATCACCTTATGTAATGTTACGTAATGTTCGTAAAAAATGACGTCTTAAAGACGTATTATCTTTGTGTGTGTCCGAGAACATTTCCACTATTATATTCATTGCTGCCAGATAGGATAGTCTTCCTCCGTTTCTATCGATGCACTGTTGAGTGCATATCCTTTATCCCGTCATCATTGATATCATTTTGTACACCAACTCTGATTTACTTATTCACGACAAATAGAATCTTTTTCGCGTGATTGTCGCACCAAAAGTAAGATTTATCATATTTAAAGCAATCTTGTTTTCTCCCGGGCGGGTAAATTTCACATTACTCGTTACAAATGTTCGTTTCCCATGCTAACGAATATCCATTATTTTCTCATACATAAATTATTGCAAGGCGAACATAAAGAAAAATGCACTCGAATCCAATCGTGATTAAACTATCGGTTTTCAATCAAATATTAGTATTTTAACACAGGCATTTTAACATAAATATACGGCGAAAGTGGAATATGTGTATATACGATCAGTCCTGAATAATAAAGGAAATACATACCGATTTCGGCATCGTGGTAGCTGTGTTTTCTCGTACTAAACAATGGAACTATCCCTCTGAAACAAACAATTAAGTCCTTTAAACAGCAGTGATGTTTACACAAATTAAGAGAAGAAACACGCTTTGGAATATTCAATCTTTTTTTCAAATTCTTCACATTTCGATTTTGTCAGAACTCTTGTGCGAAGTAACATCAACGACACGAAGTGATTTTTTAGAAATTTGCTAACGACATATGATTGACGGACTTGTAATTACGACAAATTAGGTTGTTATTAAGATGCGAAATAAATGAGAAAAATTGCGCATGCTTCCGACCGGAGGTCGAAATAGCAAACAGTGACACATCTGATTCAATAAGCGACGTATGTCGGTCATGTACGATACGTTTGCGGTACATTACATGAGATGCGTAACTGCCGTCTCGTCGGTGAATCTTTAACATAGAAATGCGTATCGTGAGAGAGAAGGGACAAAACACGGGGGAAAAAACGAGTCGCGTCAGGTTACGAGTCCGCGTGACCGACATCCGCCAGAGAACGGGCCAGAGTGCAGAAGCGAGGAGTGCCCGCCTGCGTTGTCTAGCATTCCCCTTTTATCTAGGACGGCACGTACGTTCGTTGAACCGCAACTATCTCGTTCAGCTTTTGTCGGGCTCTCCTCATCGCAAAAATAGTGCGCGTGTCCCCACACACAGAGATAGGATGTGTCTGCCTCCTAATAATACCAACTACCGGAAATACAACTACGCGTCCTTACTCTATCCGGGGAAATGTCACACACTCATAGTAAAAGTGAACATTCGATACTAGAAACGATTGTCGTCTTCTCTCGATATTCCACGCGACGGTCGCAATTCATCGAATCAGACTGTCGCACTTCGAGTATTTATCAAGCAAAATTACGTGTTCCTACATACACTTCCTTTACTACCTAAGTAATAAATGTTAATTCGAGTTATATGGGGCAACATACAAAATAATATTAACTTTCTTATTAATGTTATCTTTACCGGTCATCAGTTGATCTAATAGAGATAATAGAAGAAGATATGAGTGTTTAAATATATATTTCGAATATAAGTTATCACAACTTTTCAGAACGAAATAGTCAATAATTCTGAAATTTGTCTATAATATATTAGTCTTTAATATTTTCGTAATTTTTCATGAAAAAATCTTACTTTTAGTTTAGAAGACGTTAAAAACAGAATTTCTGAAAATAGCCCACCAACTTCAAAGAACATGTAGAAAAATGTTAACTTTTGCTACAAATGTCTCGAATGATCAAATCTTTTTCTAATTGCACGAACAATAAGTTAAATAATATTTCAATGTATATGCAGTGCAAGATTCGCCGAATTCTTGTGAAACTCACTTAACCTTACAACAACCTCCTTTAGTGAGTGAAATAATTTTAGATCCAGGCTCTGAATTGCTATCAAACGTGTCACTTTTAAATGCAGTGTAAATCAATTTATTTTCCATTATTTTTGGAGTTATAGGCGACATATTCTCAACACTAACTGTTTTTCAAGATTTATAAAACGAAGATCGCGTGAGACAACATGAGAGATAATCAGACGGTGTTTTTGTCGCCAAACGTGCGATGAGAGTCCTCGATAGCTCTTCTCTAATAACACCTAATCATCGTCCTCCTCCTCGAGATCGTTCATTCATGAGGTTTAATCGCAGATTGTCGCTTGAATAGTCGATCATATAGATCGTTTAATCCCACAATCAACTTGAAATTTACCAAAGTGCACGCAAAAAATGTGCAACATACAAAATGCGTGTTATAAGATCCAACTACTGTAACTTTCATCAGACAACTTTAACAATGAATATCCTTCGCTGCCGCGGATTTCCCGTCTGTATATTTTCGAGATTTGTAAATCATCGGCAAGTTAACCAGTTAAGTGTATTAACACAGATGTACTCCTAAGAAGCGGGAGGAAAGAAGCCGGCCGATTTACCACGATAATCCTTGTTAATCGCTCTTCGAGCGATAATCGCGGGAACATCCACGTGACGACCACGCGAACCACAATGATTTCATTCTGTTACAGAGGGTTCTACAATAAGATGAAATGTGTATTTCTCCATTTCCGTCTTTTCTTCGATAAAATAAAATCTCTACTCGAGCAACAACTTGATGGAGCCGTTTCGCCGCATACAGATGTTCACGATGAACGTTACACACGTGTGTGATAAGAACGAGCATCGAAGGGATCTCTCGGCGAGACTGATCGCCGCTGGGCACGTATGTAGGAGTATACCTTGGCGCGACGTAACTATACGGTCTAGCGATAGGTCAAGAAGCCGTGTCGCGAGTACAAGATGGCCAAGAACGAGTAGCACCGGCGGAGTCCTCGATAAATAATTGCTACACAATTGATTTCTTCTACAATTTCAAGTGTGTATGAGATACAGTGCTGATAGTATTCCCAGTCTTCTAAATCGTGCGTATTACGCCGGATATCATACAGCGACCTTTGTCTCGAACGATGACTCGATTTTCTCAGGAATGTCAAAGGAGGCTTTGCCCGTCATTGTTTCTCGTAAACAAGACAGAAATTTTGGCGCGAAAATTTCTCAAAATATCGTTAAAATTAGAATCCTCTGGCACAGCCTTGAATAGAAAGGAAGAGTACGGTTAACGCGACAAAGCGGGTATAAGTGAGTTAGTCGTCTAATTAATCGATTTCTCTTTCACATTGCTGACATTAACAAGAGGAAAATGGGGGAAAAGTTAAGCAAACTGACGTATAACTGATTAAATTTGCAATACAGAGGGGGAGAATTAGACGCACGATTTGCCTAACCAACGTCACTGTTGCTGGTCGATTGGTTTTCCGTCGCGAATGAATAATAAAATTTGTGAGAAACGGAAACATATCTGAAGGCGGTTGGTATGAGACGACATTACCAGCCCAAAAGCGACGTCGGCGCGCTAGCCGGCTTTTTCGATCCAAACGTTGATTCTGCTCTCTCTCTCTCGTACGGGCCGCGCCGCAACAAATGAGCGACGATTCACAGCGACGAACACGACGGACGGGGTACTTACTCGATTCCGCTTGCAAGCTCTCCCGAGAATCCAGTGACACGTGTGTCGCGCACCACATCCACGACGGTCCGCCTGACACTCGCGACAGCCTAACGAAACAGGAAATCGTGTGATCCACACCCAAAAATCCCGTCACGTTCGGAAAATACTGACACCTCACTGATAATATGGCCGCCACCGCCACCGCCTGCCCGCCCTACCGCGATACGTTACGCTCGTTCGCTCGATCTGTCGTCGTCCGAGCAAAGAGGAAGGGGCGGGAGAAACCTGAACCGCGAATGTTACAAAGACGCGCGCCATAGCGGCCTGTGAACTCCCTTTTTCCGGTAATCAAAATTAACTCAACGACCAATCGCAGTTGACTGGAGCGCTCATTGAACTCTTCTTACTGATCTGATTGGCATATTCCTTCAGATCTTAAAACATCTTCCAATCAGAGCTCAGTGAGCTCCTAGATGCATCAATCGAAAATCTTGTCTCTCATTGTCAGCACATTAATATAGTCACGGACGTAGAAAGTTGTCCGATAATTTTCCATCAAATTTCGGAACACATTCGCTTATCCAATGGAAGAGTTCCCCCAACTGACCAATCGAATTTACCAAGCCGAGGATCATCGGTACTTATCAATCGCACAGGTAATATCTTATGAACACATATGTGGTTTCATCAATGTCACCTGCCTGTAACATTTTGTCGTGTTTTCCTCGAACAATCATGATGCGCGAATATGTGGAAAGAATGATCGAGAAATTGTAATGGCCTAGTAAATGTTTAAGGCTATTGCGCCGTTGTGCAAGATTTCTACATGCATCTCCCTAGTCTACGCTATACGTGACTCTCGCAACCGTCGATCGCACGAGCCACAACTGTGCGAAAGACTGTACGCAAACAATCAGATTTTCTGTTCTCGGATTATATTACATACGCTTGATGCATACTTGCTAAAAAGTCACATCTGTCAATCACGATGATTGTCGCCTCGATCTGACGAAACGAGTGAAAATGTAAGTCAAGTAGACGCGCGTCCGTCACTAACGAGTGACGAGCGAATCAATTTATATTATAGGATTTTCGTCGTCCTTTATGACATTGCGCTTCTTCTCGCTCAAAACCACCGTATTGTGCGTCGGAATAACCGAAACTTTAGGGCCGGTGTCTCTTGCGAATGAAAATTTCTTTCGTTTACTTTTGCACACGAGCAACCGACGGAGCGGTCAATTCGTCCTGTTCTGTAATATCACATTGATTGAACTTCTCTCGTTGAAGACAATGTTGCCGCGAAAGAATATTTTTCGTCTATAAAAGAACCGTACCGTTCAGCATTTGCGCAATGTCATCGCGCGTTCTCGAATCAATCGTCTCGAATGATCGCGAACAATCGAGTTTACACGAAATCATCATGACGTCGTCTTTTTTTGCATTTACATCATGCTTCTAAAGAATATATCTCAAATCAAAAACCATCGTCCTATTTGATAGCGTAACAATAACTGTGTCGTAAATATATACGTTAGGAAGATACACGAGTTTAACCTCTCGACCGCGTAAGGCGACACGTCCTTAAAAGAGAAACTGCTTCTTTCGCATGATCCATCAAAATTTTGGATTCGCCGGAAAAGGGATTAGTCGTGCTACGAAGTTCGCGAGGCAATATATAGAGAGCGATAAACGTCGCCGTTCCTCGTGGAACGCCGTTTGATTATTATTCAGGCCGATTCACGCGTGACTGTATGCTACGTCGGGGCCACCGTCATCCACCAGAAGTACTACTCTACAAAGAAGCGTTATTTTTAGGGCGTACCACGCGTTTCTCGTAAATAACATGTCCCGCCCGCAAGCCTGACGCTTGTACTATGAGATACAGAAAAATATGGTTAGTCACAATCCTTAGCCTCGGCGTAATACTAACATCTTTCTTCTTAACATCGGAATGCGTGCCACAAGATATCCTCTCTGAGATTTCATTTCTATCGAACGACTGTTTTATTGCTCTTGAAAACGTCACGTTATTAGTGTCGTTTCACTCATATTTTGTCATTATTCTCATTGTGTATCATTTTTTTTTTTTTTTTTTTTATTAAAACAAAGAATATTTGGTTTAATAATGTAGTATTGTTTTTAGTCATTATTTGTGATAAATGCTGAGCTAAACGGTTAGAAAGCTGTCCCGCAATACAGGTGTGATGATTATACATATCTAATCACGCATCTATGGATGTAGGAAAACCGGTCGGGTAAACGTCGTTTCGCAGAGAAGATCAATCCAGTGATAAAATATCCAAAGCTTGAAATCAAGAAGATGTTTTGTTGGGGAAGTACTATTCATGGAGAATTAGGGCTGGGTGGTATCGAGGATGAAAACATATTCACTCCTCGTGAAGTAAATTTTGAGAAAGCCAGTGAAATTGAGCAGAGTAAGGGAAGTAGTTGTAGTAAATTTCTTCATAGTCAATGAGAATTCTGAATACATGAGAGACATGCTTTTAGTTGCTTGCGGAGATAATTATACTATAGCCGTTACTAAAGGAGGACAAGTATATTCCTGCGGTAACAACGATTATGGACAACTCGGGCAAGAAAAAGGAAGGAAAAGATTACGTGAGTATACCGAAAATTCATGGTGTAGTGTGCACAGTTGTAAACGTATAGTTTGCAGAATTAACTTCTACTAAAATATACTGACTCTGTATACAGAGCCGATAAGTGGTATAGATCTACTTGCATTTAGAAAAGCAGCATGTGGGGCTAGTCATACGTTGGTTATAAACGAATGGGGACAACTTTTCAGCTGGGGTTGTAACTTGGAAGGCCAACTGGGTAATAAAGAACTTACTACTTACCGAAATAATACACTATTTTCAGTGAATTGTAAGCACAATCACACTTGTTACAGGCTTAAATAGCACCGATGCAACGGAACGTGTGCCACGTATGGTAAAGACATTGGGTACAATGGTGATAGTACAGATCGCGTGTGGCTTGAAACACTCGATCGCCCTTACCAATGACGGAGAGCTGTACGCATGGGGCAGTAACAGCGATGGTCAGTTAGGGCTAGGAGCTGACACAAAGATGGAGATAAAACCCAAGCTAGTTCACAGTTTAGCTGCTGTACCGATCGCATTCGTCGCATGCGGCGGATACCACACTATAGTCATATCGAAATCAGGTAAACTTACTTATCAACATAGTCTGGAACAAAGCGATGAATTGATTTCTCTGAATGAAACAGGAGCCGTATTCGCATGGGGCCGTAATACTTTCGGACAATTGGGATTGAGCGATGCGCAGAATAGAAATGTGCCATGCCAATTGCGTACATTGAGAAATTCAAGGGTGTGCTATGCGACGTGCGGTGAAGAATTCTCCGTATTCTTGACAATGGTAAATTTCACCGCGGAAGATCGAGGGATTCCGACGAAAAAGATCTTTGTTCCAGGACGGTGGAGTATTCACTTGCGGTGCCGGAATGTATGGCCAATTGGGTCACGGGACCAAGACGAATGAAATTTTGCCGCGACAAATAATGGAACTGATGGGTAGCACGGTGACCCAAGTAAGGCTCACTCGAACGACGACATGTCGCCGGTACTTAATGCGCACGTTTCACAGATATCCTGCGGAAGAAGGCACACGTTGGCCTTAGTGCCGTCTAGAGGCCGAGTTTACGCGTGGGGTCTAGGCGGTGCCGGACAATTGGGTAACCGTATCGCTCAAAACTCAACAACACCACAGGTCGTGCTTGGACCATGGGTCTCACCGAGCGGATCTTCGATGATTAATGTCGACTTGCAGTACAGTCTTTACACGGCTGACTGCGTTGTTAAACATATTTTTAGCGGTGGTGATCACTGTTTTGCTACGGTTACCCTGAGAAAAGTGTGTGCATTCTCTTTACTCTTTAGATTAGCGCGTTGCCAAGTCCCAAAAGGAACGAATCTCGCTCGTATTTCCCTTAAACCTGAACGAAAAATTATTTCTATTTAAACATCTACAGGATAATATAGAACCAGATGACTGTAGAATATTAGGGTCAACCTCCCAAATTCTTGCAGTGACGGAGGAACAGCTAGCTGCCTGTCACAGAGTTCCACCGGGATCGTCGGTTGATCATGAATTAATCACGTGAGTGAAGAATGCGAATTGCGCGATTTACCGCAGACTACGGTCGTTGCTTTCATATTTTGCCAGGTATCTAGAGACTGTGTTCAGAAGTCAAGCGTGCATAAATGGATCTTTTTTACGCGCTAATGACGCGCATTACGGATGTTCAAGTAAACATCACGGCGTAGACATCGATCGCGCGATTAAATTATTCGAGATTATTTCTAAACTGGAGAACAGTACGATTCAAGAATTGGTAGATATGACATTGTTCGTGTATATACGGAGTGATTCTACCCGGAGAACTACCCTGTGCAATGATGTTTCAGATTTGTACATGCATAACCGATAGTCTATTACCGTCGTTTACATTGTCTCCGCCCGACGTCGAGTCCCTGAGAGTGTACTTAACGTTGCCGCTCTATCACGGCTTCGTGGATCCGTTGAACCACAATAGTCTGCACAAACCGTTCTCCAGGGCTGTGTTGAATCTAAAGCCGGAGGCTCGCCGAGTCGTGAGCATGTGGTGGAGTAAAGCACCGGCGCATTACTTCGAAAGACTAGTGAGGCTTTACAAATCCGTCGTTTTACATTTTGTGAAGCAACCGACGGCGGACAAGGTAATGGCGCGCGATTCATCGTAGGGAGATGTGTGATGATCACTTTTTTAAAAAAATATCATGTCTTGCAGAGTGTCACGTGGAATGTAACCCTGCAGTATGCTCTAGATCTGTTACGGTTATTGTATAAACTCAATTTCACAGACGAGGGTATGCGAGTATCCTACGAGACCTTTCACTTGCCGAACCTGATGCACTTTATAGACGTCAGAGCTGATTACCTTAAATGGCTAACGGAAGATCCTTCAGCTAGTGTAGGTGATAGCAACTCCTTCGCTTGCGTCGAGGTTTTGTTTTTTTACGAAAAGATCGGTTACAGATGATCACGAATTTGAAATACGGAGATTACCCCGAGAAAGAAAAGTCTGCATTGCAAACTATATGCGTGTAAATAATTCTATATTTCTTGCCATTTTTCAGTATCATAAAGTATACTTTTGTAATTACCCCTTCCTTCTCGACGCCGAGGCGAAAACCGTACTGCTCGAAACGGATCAAGCTATACAGGTATATGTAAGATAAGACATTTGGAAATATTTTCAATCGATCCAATTGATATTTTATATATATATTATGCTGCGTTAGATGCAATCCGCCATGAATGAAGCGGCGTCAAGAGCTATCAGGCACATATTGTTTCATATGAACACGGATAGTATAGACGCCCGGCATCATAATCAATTTGTGACTTTGAACGTATCACGGGAAAACATAGTCACGGATACCCTGACGCAACTGTCACAATACGATCCTCACGATCTGAAGAAACCGCTTAGAGTGAGTATATAGGGCGCACGTATGTCGGAACACACGTGAATCTCGAAGATTAAAAGGAACCGGTAGAAAAAGTGTGTTTCGACTCTTTAGGTGAAATTTCACGATGAGGAGGCCGAAGACGCGGGCGGAGTTAAGAAAGAATTCTTCATGCTCCTGTTGCGAGAGATTCTCGATCCCAAATATGGTATGTTCAAACAATACGAGGAAACGAGAACAATGTGGTTTATCGAGGATTCGTTTGAGGATGAAGTCATGTATTTCCTAATTGGCCTTCTCTGTGGCTTGGCTATCTATAATTTCATCATTATCAATTTACCGTTCCCGTTGGCCTTGTACAAAAAGTTGCTGCGAGAATCGGTTGGATTGAACGACATCAAGGATTTGTCGCCGGTAATCGCCAAGTATGTTCTTTACCATCTTTCATCCCGTTTCATCTGTCGCCAATTTATTGAAGAGTTTATAATCACAGAAGCATGCAGAGTATTCTCGACTACAACGAGCCAGATTTCGAAGAAGTGTTCAGTTTGAATTTCGATGTAAATCGAGAAGCATTCGGCGAACAGAAAACCTTCGAATTGATACCCGGCGGTAGCAAAGTTCCTGTAACGTTAAAGAACAAGTACGTAAGCATGTCGCTGGGTCGGCACTCTGATAATGGCAATAATAAAAGGAAACGTCCTCGTTCGCAGGAAGCAATTCGTCGATCTTTATGTCGACTATATACTCAACAAATCGGTCGAGTCGCATTTCAAAGCGTTTCATGAAGGTTTCCATAGAGTGTGCGGCGGCAGAGTGTTGGAGCTCTTCCACAGTCACGAATTGATGTCAGTGGTAGTCGGTAATGAGAATTACGACTGGGAGCAGCTGCAGAAAAATGCGACTTACAAGGAGGGCTATTCCGAAAACGATCCCACTATCGTGCTCTTCTGGCGGGTCTTTCACGAATTGACGTTGGAAGAGAAGAAAAGGTTCTTGCTCTTCTTAACGGGCAGTGACCGAATACCTATACAGGGCATGAAGGCTATCAGGGTAAGAACGATCGTGTTCGTTGAAAAGAGGAAACAATTCCTTAGCTAAAGTCGCAAGTTATTTTCCGCTTGCTTTTGTTGTGAAATGTTTTAGCAAATCGAATGGATTTGCCCGTCCTCTCGCTCAGAAATTCCGTTCGATTCCGTGATGAGACGTTCGGTTCTCGTGAACCAACTAGTTCTAATCTGTCGTTCGACGTGTTGCAGATAACGATACAGCCAATGAGCGACGAACGCTTCCTTCCTGTTGCGCATACGTGCTTCAACTTGCTTGATCTACCGCGTTATCAAACGCGCGAGAGATTGAAATACAAATTACTACAAGCTATCCAACAGACTCAAGGATTTTCGCTCGTGTGAAAGTTTAATTTCAGGCATAACACTTTTCTCGTAATTCGCGATCGTCTGACTGTTATCAATATGTCCGCATGAATGAACTCATCTTTCCAAGTGAATTATATAGAGGAAAAAGTAATATTTGCAAAATGACAATTCCGTTACCTGATACAGACACGCATGCCTAAGTCACTCTCTCTCTCTCTCTGGTCAGTGATCGAATAATGTGATGTACCAGCATACAAAGAAATCGATGAAATATAGAAAATATCGACATCTGTACAACATCTTTCTATTGTGATGGAATAACTCAGAAGTGATGAGTGGACGAATCACCGATTCATGGGAGACTAATCTCTATCGTCAAGTAGTTTACGAAAAGCAAAAATCTAACTCGTTGAAATCGACTTGAATCACTCGTGTCATTTTTTTTTTGTCTTAATGAAGCAAACCATTGTTAATAGTTGATAGTAAACTCGATAGAGACTATGCGGGAATTTCATAGGCCGACTAATTATTTGTAATTAACGTAAGTTACGTTTGTGACCAATGAGAATTTTCGATTCATCCGTATCTGCTGGCGAGGAAATTTTAATATATTACACGCGCCATCGATTGATCATTGAAAGAAACGTGTATCAGCTTGTAACGCGCTTGAATGTGTTCGACTTAAGAGGGAATACTGTTCACTCAGGGAAAGTTTAATAGCTTAATGAGAGTACTTTTTCAACGCGACACAGTGTGGACAAATCGAGCATTAAAATTGGTTGAGATCCTCAGTAAATATCAATCAAAACCCTCTAGCACACACACAGCTCAGAGACACTCGCGGGTAAATATACGCACTGCTGAGAGACAAACATTTGTAACGACAAGATACTTGGAGTGTGCAAATCGATGCATTTTTCAATGGCCGCGCTTTAGGAACACACGCTATGTCGTCCTGTTATGATGTTGAAATTTGGTAAAAGAATATTTTGTAAATTGTTAACACACTTGGATGCATCTTGTATCGCTTATATATAAAGTAAATAAAAATAAAGGTTATCATTATATGTACCTACTGTTGCGAAAAATTCATTAAATTTTACAAGATTTGATCTCTGTGCAACAGACAGAGCGTGGCGCTATATTTACGTCGCATTACAATTAATGACACTTGTACACAAATTGATAAAGATATTTATTTTTATACATATATATATATGTATATTCACATCTTTCTCTCTCTCGATTATATTACATTATTAAAAATTATTCGACGGTTAGTTGACGGGCAGACCGTTGTCAAATCGTGACGTAGTAAGATACGTCGATACACAAGATCGTACGTTTGCTTCATTCGATCGTGTGGAACTTGTGGAGTTTTATTACTCGTTATATACGCTCACAGTGTCGTCATTGTTTTCACAATGTTACAATAATCTGCCACTATCACTCGAAATCTCTCAAGCAGTTGCTTATGATCCGCCACTCTTGTATGGCAAAGCGTTAGTTTTGTAAACCTGTATCGTTCGCAAGGTTAATTGGATAACATCGAATTTACCGCGGTTCGAATGAAACGGACGACAAGACGAATGCCAGAAAAGGAAATTTCCGTAGCAATCGGAAATGATGAATTGACGAGCAAAAATGAGAGGCAACCGTTCAGTCTCCGTTACATAGACAGGTTTATTAGACCCTCGAGATTCCGGATCGTAAGTCTGTTTGAAGAGCGGAGAAGCGCATGAAAAGGGAGATATTGCGGAATCCCGCGATGCACAACAGAAGGAAGAAAATCGGCTTTCCATACGCTTCTCGGGTTCTTCGCGAATCTCGGAAGATCCACGAATACAGCGTCCTGAGCGGATTCCCGCGGACGATCGATTTGAGGCTCAGGGCGCACGTGTATTCGCTAGTGTTGGTAAGCCGGAGTGAAGTACTGAGTGCCCGGCGGAGCCCGGTAGCCCGGATACGTGTTGGTCAGGGCGTGCTGCGCGAAGAAGCCGGTATAGTCCTTGTGCACTCGACGGGGCCTGACAGCGGGACCCCTGGCGAGCTCCATCCTGGCCTGGTTCTCCGCTTCCACTTGGGCCTTCACGGACGCTGGCGGCCATTTGAGGTCTCCTCGCATGTTGCCGCTCACCGGGGCCTTGGTCGCTGCAGGTTGAGCCTGGTACACCGGCGCCGGTATCTATCGATCGTGCCAACCAACACGGACAATCGATGTTGTATATATTTAACGGTTGCCAAAGAATACTTCCGTAAAATTATATTTCTTCATCAGCACAACACCGCGCGTATAATATTACCGTTTCTATCTTTAGCGCGATTCAATGGACAGCTCTCGCAAGTATAATAGATTCGAAGGCTTACCTGCGAGATGGGCGGCTCAGGACGGAGGACGATAGTGGATGGTGGTGCCTCGAACGCCGCGAGAGTTGACGAATGATAGGCGGGTTGCGGCGCTCGGTCGTAGGGATCCTGTTGCTGAAATCAAAATCAAAGTATCGATAAGTCTCTAATCACAGTCGTGCAATCATACCAAACCTGCAAACGTCGTCGTAATAACGATTATGTACAACACGTTCCGTCCACAAAGTGCTCTTCCAACAATCAGCGGAGTCGGCGACGCGTCACTTACCTGCTGCTGCTGGCTCGGCGGATGTTGCTGCGGCGAGGTCACCGGCGCCCAACTCTTGTTAGCGACCGTTTGCTGTTGGAAATACGAGGGCTGCCGCAGGGTGCCAGGACTGATCGGCGACGGGGACGACGGGACGGCGCTCTGAGTCGACGACCGTGCGACCGTCGAGGGTGGTTGGGGTGACGGACCTGACGAGGGACTGCTCTGGTACGAGCCGATTCCACGGGTCTTTTCGAAGGAAAAGAAATAATTTTGTAGGCTCGAGCAAAGGCTTATGTCGTCCGAGAGAAGAACGGTACTATTATTGCGTAACTTGGTTTTTTCGCTCGAGCCAGAAATTGTCCGGATTATATTTTGGTCTTGAATAATTTATCGGGTGGACCCGCCTCGACGTCCGCAGTGGTGCGTTTTGAAAGCGATTCTAATTTTGTCGACGACCAATTTGATAATTGAGGAAAGAGAAAAAGTTTTTTCACAGAGATCGGGAAACATCGTTGCACACATTACACACGCATGATGCAGCAAGACCATCTCGCACTAATTGGTAAGAAAATGCATACAACATTCAACACTGTCCCATTGGCGTTTATCCGTTAATTATACGATATTCATCCTTTTCGATAAGAGGACAGCGCCTTCGGACGAAACGAAAGATCATCGCTTTACCTTCGCTTGGACGGGACCTTGCTCCACGAAATCGAAGTCTTGATCCTCTGGAGGCGGTGGCCAAGCTACTCTTCGCTTGAGATCTGGAGAACGACAATAATAGCGATTCGTAAGGATGAAAATCCATCATTTCGACGAATTTTCGGCCAAATGATAAACGTACCGAGTTTTTGCCACTTTTTCACGGAGAGGAACGCGCCAAAACGGACACCCGCCAACTACTAACGCTATGGCGCGGGGTCACCTGTACCTTTCGTTATTGCGGAAACGAGCTAGCTACCGATTATAGAGCCTTCCTGGTGGTCGGCCAAGGAGTGGGGTTTGCGCCCGGGAGGGGCAAGCTCCCCGAATTTTTCCGGAGGAGAATTTTCCCTATTGTTCCGAAGAACGGGACGTTCTTTCATCGTCGGTCGGAAAATTGACGCAAGCGATATAAAGATCTTCGCTTACCGGGTTGACCACCGCGCTGCCTCGCTTCTTCCTCCTCGAGCATGCGTAGGACCGCGCTGTTCTGTAGATTCGCTGGCTTGGCTAACTGGTTGAAGTCGATTCTGAAAGAAATACAAGAGTTATTCATTATGCGCTATTATTTCGCAATGGATAACGCGACACCACCTTCTCTTGGTGGCGATCATCGCGTTGGAATCTCAGCGGAGTGGACGCGCGCGGACCGTCAAACGCGAAACTAAGTCAAGTACGAAGACGGTGCGGGCGAGGAGGCCCCGCTGTTTATTTCTAACCGGCCGGCGGTGATTCGACTCTCTGAAAATAACCGTCGGTGAGTGACGTCGCGAACGAAATCAACTGATTCATGCGTCCGACATTGATCGCGCTTCGCCACGCTCGATGATTGACGCAAGGTGGTCAGTAGTTCGGCGACGCCTCGCTCACGCGGACACGTCGACTCACCCGACTGCACCGTTCGCCAAAACCTGAGTCTGCCTGTCCAGGGTCTCCTGTATCGCTTGCGGCGAGTACAAATTGATGGGAGAATTGAACTGCTTGTTCACAAGCTTCGTCCTTTCGGTGCTCATCTCGAGAATTACTGCAAAGAGGAAGAAGAAACGTTCTGTTTACCTTTTTAAGGCACGCGCGTTATTCGCGTGCTGCCAAGATTCTATAGAAACCGCACGGCACAAATACCCTCGTCTTTCGACTAATGACCACCTGCAAATCGAGCACGGTAATAAATAGCGAGCGTAATTTTTCTCTCGTTTCACATTGAGCTACTGCCAGCTGCGATGTTTTCTTCATGCGCGGCCAAAGTGACGTCCGTCTACGTTGGCACGTTTTCGCGCGCGTTTCGCTAAAATTACGCAATTAAAATTGTTTCATTAATCGCCGTGGAGACTATTGATCGACGTGACAGCCGTGAGAACTCGCGTGACATTTTCTCGCTCTTACGCTCTCACGCATTCCAAATCAGGCAGGGTCGAGCAATTTCGGGAAGTGGGTCACGAGTTATCATCGTTCGAGATTGTTTGATTATTCGATCGCGCCGCGATTTCTACCACCAGCGGAGTATTATTCCTATAGATTCGTGCCAAGAAATCCGACCCAAGCGTTGATGAAGCGGAGAAAGATTTGCCGATCGTTATGATTCGTCGAGCGAGATGTCTGGAAAAATCAAACTAAACAATCGATCCATCCGTCATTCTTATGGCCGAAGAGAAATCGGCGAGTGAAGATCGCCCCCAATCGATGAAATGTCTGCTCGAAAAACGCTATCTAATTTTAATTGGCTGCAGAGGACTCCAACGTACGCGCTCTTCCTCGCATTTACCGATCGCGTTTTTACTTCGCCAATTTCCAGAGGAAATGTGTCTAACTCTCGAAAACTTGGGATTCTCGCGTCTTTGCTGGGTAGTCACCGGTGGCCTACCGCCGGTTATTTTTGCTTAGAAATTCCTCCGAATATATCTACATCGTCCGCAAAATCTCTACTTCTCCCTCCTTCTCCCAGCTGGTCTTTGGAGCACGCGCGCTCTCTTTCTCTCCTTTGGGTCGTATTGAATTACATTAAAGCTCGATCGACATTGGCGAAAAATGTGTGTTTATCTAACGATAATTATCGCTCGAACGGCTTATGCCGTTTTAGTAGAGCCCCATATGAAGTACATTTACGAGAGATGTACGTAATGTCGTGAAACAATACCGCCTCTGAATATTTAGAAATAACGTAACAAATGAAATATAGTTGGATCTCGTCGCTACGATCGATTCCTTTCGCTTCTCCCACACTCTCGATCACCCTCCTCGATTTTCCGCAAGCTCGACCCTCTTTCGCTCGCTCTTGACCTCGCGTTCTCCCTCTTTCAAGAGCTCCGCTCTTTTTTCTTATCCTCTCGTCGAATTTTCCAGCCTTGCGCGCTACTCAACGACGACGACAACGCGGCGCACCTACCTTCGCGATGATATACGTAGTGGAGCACACGGGTTCCTCGGGTGGCGAAACACACTGGACTCGGGAAAGCGAAAGCACCGGAGAGCGGCAGAAGACAAGCGTCGGCCCCCTCTCTCACCCGGAACCGCCGAAAACGGTTCTGCCCCTTCGCATCTTCTTCCTATGTCGTGGTTATTTTCGATCCTCGAGATGCTCTCTTTCTATCTTTCTCCCGCTCTCTCTCTCTCTCTCTCTCTCTCTCTCTTTGATAGCCGCGGCATTTGGCGGATTTCCTGGCGATCGCGGGAAAGCGTTTTCCCACACCGTTTCCGAAAGTCGCGCGAAAAGACCGGCCGATTGCGCTCGGCACTCGAGACGTTTATTTTTAGCGAGGGTGTAAACCGCGCGCGAAACGCTTCCTTTATTTTTCCCGCAAAACGCTCATCAAAATGACACATAAATTGCGCAACGCAATCGTGATATCTGCGAAAAGTCTAGTCGACGACTCAAATTCGACTTTGAGCTGTTTCTCTTTTATCGGCACGACCCGTCGTAGAAACTTTTTGAAGTATATCTCTTTCACAATCGATATTCTTTCCCTTGTGTTACATTACGTCGCTTTTAGGGGCGACACTTTGGCAGAAAAAAATCGAATCATCCCGCAAATTTTCGCAAGCAACCAAAACGCGCATAATTCCTTCGCAGTTAAAAGTTTGGACATATTCCGTAAACAGACCCGAATTGCACGAAATGGTTGCCATGCGAAAAAGAAGCTCTCTCTGTCCGATAGTTATCCGATAATCGTAGCGTCTCTTATCCTGTGTGGTGAAAAAAAAAAAAATCGATCGCCTATCCTCATTCGATAACCCCGTCGAATATCCAGAGAAACTTGGACGACAATTCTGCGCCATGGAATTGAAGACGCGCCAGCACTCGCAGACGGTAAATCGTATATTTTGTGTAAGTATCTCACTGACGCATACAAAAATAAATCAGGCCAAAGTGGTGTTTCCACAGGCTCGAATTGTTGCGAGCGAGCGAGTTATTGGTCCGGCGTTTAACAATCAATATTCCGACCCAAAAATCCACAACGGTAAGAAACACCGTCATGTGTTATCAGTAGATAATCCATATTTGTAATATCACGGCTATTTGATGAACAAAAGGGTATCGTTCAGGCGACTCTCTTTCACCAGCGCGTCAACAAAGCCTAATTGCCTAAAAACGTCTCAAACGGTGAATTTAACGAGAGATATTTTCGAAGACACCTTCGGCCAAGTAGGCCGTGCTCTTAAAATGGTACATTTGGACAATGAAATTTCCGAAATTGAAACGTTTCGCGAATCTCTGCATTACCATCTCGAGAGGAATCGACCGCCCCTGCAGACAGGTAGCCAATCATGCTTGGGACGATGTACGTCTGCCGCCTCATCCCATGTATACTCCTACGTACTCGTGATGTAGCGTGTCGTTTCAAAGACAAAATGCGTTAATGTTCATCAGCGTTCGTACAAATGGCCAAACAGCGGAGATGCGTGTCCAATAACCGTGCGATATCATTGTTGGCGATAATCTGTAAGAAAAGGATAATTATATATGAATAATGAGTCGTAGAAACGAGAGACGGAAATCGACAGAGGTTAAGTTCGGTCTGCTTGATAACGAAGGGGTCGGTCAGGAAATATCAGAGAACGGCGGGGGGTCGATACGTATTACGCCTGTAAGCGTTTTCAATCGCGCGTATTACCTTCGCGCTTGTCATTTCGGCGACACGGGGAGAGGATGCTGCTTACACGGCAGAAAAGGACCCGCCGGCAGGAAGAGAGAGGGACGCTTTTCCCGCCGTTGGGAAGAATGGAAAATCAATAATCGCAATCTCGCCCTTACCGACTCTTGTGGCAACGACGCCATTTGCAACGACGAGCACGCCCTCGCGGTTCTCTCGTTTCCTCCCGTGTTCTCCGTTCCGGTAGCGCGCATCTTTCTCGTCTCCTACCACCGTGAGAGAGAGCGCAGTGCTGACAGCGCCGCTCTACGCTTCCGTCATTGGTGGTCGACCGCCATTATAGATTCCGTTGTGAGTGACCGAGTCTCGCGACAGAAAACTCCGTCACATTTCGACGTTACGCTCCGTCGTGCGCTCGCCGCGAATTCGAAAAGGAGAGAGAGAGATTCTCGGAAAGCGACGTTGCGTCGACGATGAAAACGTACAGTAGGAAAAAGGGCGACAGCCCGAGCAACGTGATCATCCATGTGAACGAGCTGTGCCGACTGTGTCTGGCCAAGGAGGAGGAGATGGTACCGCTCTACGACGACGAGACAGTGCCGTTGCCGCTGCGAATACTCGCCTGCGTCAACATCGAGGTGGGTTTTTCCCCGATCGCACGATTATCGCGGCGGGTGATAATCAGCCGAGACGAAAAATAGGAATCTAGTTTATCTCTGCGCACGGCGTCGTTTGCCTCCCCTGTCCTTCCCTCCGTTCCCCATCCCACCGCGCGCGCGACGTGGCCTTCGATGCACAAAACACCGACGCGCTCGACCGGCTCTGTGTGCGTGCATGCCGCTGCAACTACCGGCCTTACCGAGTTATCGACTCGAGCTGTGTGCCGCCGCCGCCTGCCTCATTACAGGGACCTAGACTCTGCGCGGAGGCCCCGCGTTTTACCTTACGGATTTATAGAAATCTGTAATATTATTGCGTCGGACATAACGGCGCATTAGCTTCTCGGACGGACGGCGCGCGTCCTTTTTTTTTTTCTTTTCTTTTCGCGGCCTCTCCTCGCCGTGCTGGCATGCCGAACGTCGCGCGAATCGACATTTTTCATTTCTATTATATAGAGAAACGTCAAAGAATAAGAAATTGCTTTCAACCTATTTTATGATCGATTTTTCGAGACACTCTTCACCACACACTCGTTGATGTTTCAGGTTTACGAGCAAGATGGTCTGCCCAACATGATATGTCATCCATGCAAGTATCAGTTGGAAAAGTCATATCAATTTAGAAAAAAATGCCAGGCTGCCGATGTCAAATTGAGGAAGCATATGAAACTGATACAGCAGCTGACTGGACAGGACGAGGAGGGTGAAAGTCAGGATGACGAAAACCAAGATAGCAGCAGGAAGGAATCTTCCGCTACTGGCAAATCTAAGCAAGTTAAACAGTTGTTGGCTGATCTGGTTGCGATCAAAGGTAACAGCAGTCAAGTGGATGGAAATCCTATTGAGGTAACGGAAGAAGAACTCGTCGGAGGTTATATTCTGGGTATGTGTTCTATTCTTTGAATTGATATATACTTAAGGATTTGTATAATATCGTCGTTATTCAATGTGCAGGTATGAATTCGGAAAATCCAGAGATGGAAGAAAATGTCTCAGAGGATCCCGAGAACATCACGTTGATACCTGCCGAGGAACGGACGGCGAAGGCAAGATGCACAATAAGAGCAACGCGCATCAAGCAGGAGCAGGAATCTGACGATGAAACGGAAGATGTACAAAGATCGATTGTTGGTACGGAACACAAGAATGTTTATATGATGGAACTGACCAGCAACAGTTCCGTTCAAGGAGAATCGTTAAAGCTGCAACCTATAACGGATACTATGGGTAAGAAATATTGTAATGTTGAATAAAATACAATCAACGTTACAAACGACGAACATGTTACAGTTGATGCGAATCCGGAACTGAAAGTGTTCAAATGCGACAAATGTCCTAAAGCGTTCACTCGCAGAATAATGTTGAAAAGTCATCAATCTGTGCATTCTACGCAACGGGGATTCACATGTCAGGCATGTGAGAAGTGGTTCCCGACTAGATCAGCGCTAGTCAGACACGAACGTACACACACTGGTTAGTAATACCTCGAAATGTTTCATCATCAAGATTTAGAATTGATTCTTAACTTTTAAAAGTGTCTCTCAAAACTTATCTGCAGGCGAGAAACCGTTCGGTTGCAACATCTGCCATCGTGCCTTTGCGCAAAAAGAGATCTTGTTCCGTCACCTGATGACCCATTCCGGCCAGAAACCGTTCCAATGTCAACACTGCGATAAAAGTTTCACGCAACGGGAAGCACTGAAGGTGCACATGCGCAGGCATCAGAAGCTGAATCCGAACGATATCCAACTGCATCATTGTCAGCTCTGTCCAAAAGCATTCTGCCATGCGTCAGGCCTCAGCAGGCACCTGGTCACTCATACCGGCAGAACGTACAAATGCGTGGAATGCGAGAAATCCTTTACCGACAAGAGTTCACTGCTGAGGCACAGTCGCATCCACGCGCCGAAAAAACTTATGTCAAATTAAACTCTCTCTTTGCGTACTTCGTAAATGGAAATGTCTCTTTATGAATCTAACAATGCGACCATCAGTTTCAAGTTCGAAATACGCGGATGGTATGACATTAGCGAAACAAATCTTTAGATTAAGTATTCTTTATGAATAGTTTATGTCGTTGCAATATTTTCCGCATAATTTTTACATGCAAGTCATACGTTTAACATTAAAGAATATCATTTATTTCGCTGATTCTTGTATGAGTACATGCATTATTTGTCCAAATATTACACATGATCAAAAAAGAGAAAAGATGCACACATACGTATATCGAGTATGATTTCGTATAATAAATGATAAGGATGGTCGAAACGAAACTGATGTACATTTTATATCTCGAATAATTGACCAGGCTTGTTTTTATAAAGCTCGATTATATGTTACTTTTCAAATCATAAAAGATATGATAATGAAATATATACAAGTTGGAAAATAACATGGCGAGTTATTTGTTATGTCTGACTCGCAGTGCATGATTTATTATTGCTCTATTCAGCTCCTTAAACAGTAACACTAATGTATAGGCATACCAATTATATTCTTCTATTTCACCAGTCATTACGCGACACAACTTTTATATATAAAAGTTTATATATAAAAGTTTTATATATAAAATTTATATATAAAAGATAACATAAGATTATAAATCTCATGTATTCTTTGCAATATATACGTTTATACAACTATTCATATATATAATTGGTGTATATATAGTTTTAAACATAAAGAATCGACGCAGAGTTATATATGTCGTGTGCAGGTAAATGTCATGCCGCAGACAACTGTCATCCCTGTAATTACGTATAATTACCCTATATTTATACCTTTATGTTAAATAACATGCATCTGTGAAAGAGATACATTGTAAAAGTATCAATATAATGTAACAAAATGCATGACAAATACATCGTTGCGGAGATTATTCTACACATTACGCAATCGTGTTTATACACATCTCATTACATGATTAAACAGTGGAAAGTGACATATGATCGTGCAAATGCATATAAAAAATTTCTCGCCATTTGAGCGAGCCAGTCACAGTGTCTGGTGCGACAGAGCTCAATAATTTTACCGGGAAAACATTGACAAAAATATAAAGTTAATCCTCCGAATTGTAAATTATGTCGGAACGCTGGGAAGATCAAGGATTAAATACGCTTCTCGTTTAGACAATGGTGCGAAATGAACGACAGGCAAATATTTTTATTAAAAAATCCGTTTTATTGTGTCTTTCTTTCTTGAAGATCTTGTGCACTGTTACATATTGCCGATATTGTTGCGTCACAAATCGCATATACATCAATTCTTTGACAGAAAATTACTAAATCTTTTTACAACAGTTTTTCTGTGGAATTTTCCGTTAAAATCCAAATAAGGATATGTCGAAACACGTATACCAAACAATGAAAATTGTCTCAATTTTCGAGCTCCGTCATACGATCTGTGCTGGACCTCTACAAGATTAGATTGATGGATTCCTTTTTTTCTTGATGTTGCGATTATTCTACTTGAATAAAATTGTATAGCAAAGGGGGAAACGACTATGTACTTAATCGAGCGAGCCTGGTACGTTCGCAGATATTCGATCGTGTTATTCACGTAAGCTATAAACCGATGAAACCTAAGCCTTAGATCGAAGCTACTGCTATTCTGACAATTTTTAAATATTCTAAAATGTTTAACAACGGTTACTTTCACCGATCAATCCGGTATTACGACGTAAATCGTGTAAAACTTGTGAACGCAACTCACAAAACGTCATTTCCTGCTTTGCTACGCCGCCAATTCACATAACCCTCGCACACTCTCGAGCGATTAATAACTCTAATAAAGATACACGTACACGAAAGATCGATCGATCAACGGAGAACAATGGTAGTAGAGCGCGGGACCTTCGAATCCTGTATTGCACTCCGGTTCAAAAGAAGTGCGCAAGTTAGTCTAAATTAGATTAAATCGGAGCGTCGAACTTTCATGTACGTGAGAGGCTACTAATACCGCTAAAAATCTACGAGACTGCCGAGTTTCATCTCGGAGTTTAACCCCGGAAACTTGCATCATCGATAGCGTCCGTTTTTTTATACACTTTCCTCGAACGTAAAGTTATTGTTAGATTCGCTACAACAGTTAATCCCCCCCCCCCCTTTTTCTTTCATTATGGATCCGCGACAAGGCCGTAGTCGATTCGCCGTTGTCAGAGAGTTGTAAATGACTCAAACGAAATGTTCAAGAAGCTTCTCGGGACGCGCGAGTCGGCTCACTCACAATGACTTTCTGCAATATAGGCTCGATTTACTCTTCCCTTGCGTTATAAGTATTCACCGGAGAACCGCGTCGCCGCTCGAAGAATCGAGAACAGAGTGAAGGAAGAAATGACTGTCCATATCCGCGGATTATGAACGAGATTTGTACTATGCCTGTCGTCGCGTGCAATATTCCGAGAAATATGGGGCATCCGCTCTCCTTCTTTGCTACTGCTAAAATTGGCATAAGGAACTGATGGACTCGGTGGATGCGGCATTACGGAGATCGAAGAATGTCGAATAATATTTCACGAGATAACACGTTTACTGTGAGAAAAAGAGAGACATTTTTTGTCGGACGTTTGAAAGCCGCGAAACGTCGAGACCAACTTAAAACTCGCTCTCTCATCAATCGAGGATCAGCTTCTTTGGTTGTTCCCATGTGAACCCATCTCGTCCAAAATGACCATATGTACTGGTTTGTTGATAAATGGGATTGCGGAGATTCAGCTCCCTGAGAAGAAGAATATAGCTTGTTTACATCCAGCTTATCATCACAAGATGTTTCAATACGTCAAATTCATCATTGAATTATCGCAATATATATTATCTCTCGAGAGATGACATTGTAAAAGATTCGCGATAACAGTATGTGCAAAACACGTGTTTTGCATGTGTGCGCAACGACAATACATATAATAATCGTGAATAAATAAAATGCATGGTAAGAGACATATACGTACTTGACGATCTTTCCGGGTCGCAGATCAAAATTTTTGTTCACTATATCTAAGAGCTCATTCTGAGAGCGCGTGGATGTACCATAATCAAAGACTGTGATTGACAAGGGTTCCGCCACTCCAATAGCATAGGAAACCTAATAAACCCAAATCAACTTTTGATATACGCAACACGTATTAACCGTACGATAATGGTGTGATCAGAATTTTGCATTGCATTTCATAAATTTCCCATAAATTATATTTCTTAAGATAAAAGAATGATATCCATGATAAAGATTACCTGTACAAGACAGCGCCTGCACAGGTCGGCTTTCACCAAAGACTTGGCAACCCATCTTGCGGCGTATGCGGCTGATCTGTCTACCTTTGTAAAATCTTTACCGGAGAATGCGCCACCACCGTGTGCACCCCAACCACCATACGTATCTACGATGATCTTTCGTCCGGTGAGACCAGCGTCGCTCTGCAATTGTTTTTTTTTTTACTATTTGGAATGCCTCAAGTGAAACGCATAATCATTTTATATGAAGTTTCAAGTCTGTCGATACGGTTACGCGGTACTTTAGTTATACCTGTGGTCCACCAATAATAAAAAGTCCGCAAGGATTCACATGAAAGATCGTTCTGTCGTCCAAGTATCTCGCTGGTATAACTTCTTTGATAACCTTCTCCATGACCGCCTTACGTAGCTCGTCCAAACCGATCTTTTCGCTGTGTTGTAGCGACACCACCACAGTGTGAACTCTTATGGGCACGCAAGCTCCATGGTCCATGATATATTCGCAAGTTAACTATTGTGAACATAGTCGCATGTGTACACAATTATACATTATTTCTCGAGCATAAAGAAACGTTGGAAACGTATGATATTTAGGAAATTATACTCAGTCAGGGTATTTACATCATGGCCATCAAGAGTAGCAAATACATAATTAACATCATTGTATAACCTAGTCCAACGTTTTCTTTCCAAAATTCAAGTAAAATGATAATTTCAAACCTGTGTCTTGGAATCCGGACGAGCCCACCATAGTTCTCCGCTTCGTCTTAGTTCAGCGATTTTTTGATTCAATTTGTGTGCAAGTACAACCGTCAATGGCATACATTCGTCGGTTTCATCGGTGGCATAGCCAAACATTAAACCCTGATGGAAGAATTCGAGTTATTCCAGCTAAAATTTATTCATTTCTTTATTAAAAGAAAGTTTTTCTTTTTAGCTTGAGATTGGAAGGATCTCGCAAATTATTGCAAATATGGACTATCTCAGAATAACCGCATGCGAAGTGCATCGGGAATTCTTTCTTACCAAACACGAAGTGCAACTTATCTCTTCTTTATCAAAATCCAGTTTGGGTTTTTAAATGAGAGCTATTTAATGTTGTTGAATTAGTGTGCTACGTTGCGCATGAATCAGGAGCTGAATCACGAAATGCCACATCAATTACGTAGATATTTTTCTTCCATTTCATCACTAAACATTTCATTATGTAACTGTTCATAATATCTGAAAGTCATAATAATATCTCAAGTATATCTTTCAGACGTTAAAATGACATTTCGCATAAAAAAATTGTTTATGTTATTACCGTTCAAGCATATTATGTTATTTCTTGCGTCATTCTTTCATATCAAATAAGTTGTATTCGAAATAACGCGATAATTCCGATATTATGTAAATTCAGGTACATTGTTGCACAGTAAAATGTTTAATGAAGCAGCAGAAAATTGCCTACATGATTTATACTTCCGCTCTAGTACACTAACTCGAAATAGCTCTCACTGAAAAACTATCACTCGAACGGATCTTTAGTAAACAAACAGTTGCTTCGTCCGATACCAAAAGTTCCCCGATGCACTCCGCATGCAGTTTATTTTGGGACACTCCATGTAATATTACATACAGTTGTGAAGAAAACAAAAAGCGATAAACCTAACATGCAATAAAAGGTGCCACACAGAGCAAAAGAGTAATGTGAATACGACAGTAGGGATAATCATTAAATAGGGGGCGACGATAGTGACAAGACAACTGTAGAAAAGATTCAACGTTAGCAAGCAGTACTGGTCACATCACGATCAATTTCAATTACACAAGCAACTATCAATTGTACTAAATTGTATCAGAACTTCGGTCGAACTTTTTGTTTGAACGTATAATTCTCGTAATATTCAGCAATATTGATATCGAGTTAATTATGCTAAGAAGTCATGATTATTCCACTGGAAAAATGTTAATGTCTATATATACCATAACCGCTACATCATATTAACGTACTTCCATCATTCGCATCAAGCTTCTCTCATCAACTATAGTATAATAAATCTCTGAATATTCATTCATTCCTTCATACATTTTTTCCACACTATCTACTTGATATTCTAGCTAAAGATTATACAGGCACGCACATATCTGTGGGCATTGATTTCTAAACATTAAAACGCAAAATAAAACAGTGAATAAAACGAGGAATACCACTACCTTAGGAAGGACCGACGGTCCTAAGCGAAAAATAAACAGGCTAATGTGTTACTAGCAACACAAAAGAAAAGTGTGTTATTCGTAAAGCTACCGAAGAGATACTATTAAATAACGGGTGGAGAGAGAACGACGAAGAAAGAAAAAAAGAAACAGAATAGAAGAAGAGAAAATTCAACGATGGCAATGCTAATTAACCTGATCTCCTGCTCCCACTTCTTCGTCACTACGATTTTCGTGAACGCCTGCCGCGATATTTGGTGACTGAGCATCGAGCGCCAGCAGAACATTGCACAGCTTGTAGTCAAAACCTGCAGAAATCATCAGTGTGATCAGACAAAGGTGTCCACCGTTGTTTGTGCGCCCTTTTCGCCAGCTGACATTTCGTCCTTCCAATACATCGGTCAGAGTCGAGTTAATGCTCCTACCTTGATTAATACTATCTGTTGCATGTACGAGTTCGCGGGAGAAGATATCCTTTTGCTTCACGCACCGGACTTTTGCGTGAATTTTACAGACAATCTTTTACGGTTGGGTGACATAACGAAGAATCAATTTTACACATATCTCGGAACATAATATATGCAGTTTTATGGTTCATATTCTAAGCTCATTTTTATCGATAAAAATGCCTTAAACGTGGCCAATCAGATGGTTTCTACGCCACTTTTAGAGGGACTTTCATCGACAGAAGCAAGTTCGGAGATATTCCTAAACGCAGTAACAGCGGCACTTTGCTGGATATAAAATCTAATGTTCTAACTTTCAACACGCTCTTGACATTTTCCTCAATGTTTCGATTTTTTCTTTCCTTTTTTCCCCAATTTTAGCAGGTTTCATTTATTCGCCATTTCACGTACGTACATACACGCACGCAATGGCGGAACAGGCTGAAAACATCTTTTCTTTTAAAGGAGAGGAATGGGAAGATTCACGAAGCAAAAATAGGAAAAATTGTCGAATTATTTTTGGCTGCTCTGCGGCACGGGCTGAGAATGGGTTATGTACCTGATCACCTGCACCCACGTCCATCTCTTCCCTGTCCGTATGAACACCATCAGCGATATTTGGGGATTGTTGTTCGATCGCCACCAAAAGGTTCAACGTACGCCAATCGAATCCTGCCACGACCATCATATGCTTACGTTATACAATCTTCTTCGATTTTTTGGTTTTCTTTTTCTGCGTGATCTTTCCCGGAAAGGTAATGAGCAGCGTACTGATTATTCGAACGATCGAGGCATAGAATTCTCTCAATGCGTGCGTATGTGGAATTAGGACGATCTTTTATCCTCGGTATATATTGTGTGCAAATACACGCGCGCGCGTGTTGCTACTTGGTAGAAAATATGCTCGACTACGATGTTTGGCTCTTGAATCTTTCGTGCCATGTGATCGTGTCTTTACGACGCGCAAAGGGAAATCATGTGAAGTGTATTTTTACGAAAACGAAAGATCGTAGTCAGCCACAGGGCGGTCAATGGTTGCGGATCTCTCCAATAAGGAGTGTAGGAGCTTTAATTTCTCTCGCGAACATACAATTAACATCTAACAAGGTAATAATTGGAAGTGATAGATGTAAAATTACATCGCTAAAGTGTCACAATAGCAATTGCAGTACCTTTTGAAGAGTCATCATAGCCGATGTGATTCACCGTATCTCGAACAATTTTCTGGTAGTCCACCACAGCCTTGGACGTAATTTCCCCGCATAATAGTATCATTCCAGTTTTTGTGACGGTTTCTGTACAAGTAAAAAATACTTTTGTAATACACGCATATATAATGCGTCTATATGATATAAAACAAAATTACATTCTTATAAAAAAATATCTAATATATACGTCACGTATGCGCACACACAATACATATTATATTTTTAATGTGCGCTCTTTTTTAAAGAATGTTATAAAATCAATGTTATATAACTAATAGTATTTATATTAAAAAAAAATTGTTTCTTGTCTTTAAAATTTTAAGGAACGACTTATTTTTAATAATATAGATATGAAAATTGTTTCTTATCTTTAAAGCATTTTCAGGAACTATTTACCTATAGGTACAGAGCAACACATATGTACAGAAGTTGAATATTCTAGTTTCAAACTAGTTCAGGGCCGAACAAACCAATTTATAAATAGATGCTATATAACACACATACACACCCAGATACATAGGTCCAAGCATTCAAAGAAATGAACAATAACTTGGTGAAACTTACCACATGCTACTTTAGCATCAGGATCTTGTTTCAAATGTGCATCCAGGATAGCATCACTTATTTGATCGCACATTTTGTCTAAAACGCAACATAAAAAGCATATTAAAATATTAGTTAGTAGAAAATTGAATTGTTATGTACATCTTTACTACATATCTTTAAAATATAGCCTTAAAATCTAATTGTCTTCTGCGAAACTTATACATAAAAAAATGTTGCATGATCCTTATCTTTAAGCATATCTTTAAGACCTAATATTTTCCTAATTGTTTCACATGTAAAATATGTATGCGGCAGTGTTATATAATAGCCTATGGTCTAAGAATTATATTTGATATGACTTCAAAAGATATTACTAATTTTCAAGAAGCACAGTCACTTCAATCTTTTTTTATTTCTACATCATAAATAGAAAAAAATATCTAGAAGGAACAGTTAATCCTGATCATAGTTAACCTAAATTGCCGGCAAGACGAAAGCTTCTTTCTTTATCTTTGGTATAATTAGAGCCGTGATCTAGCGAGATAGAAAAGGGAGGAGAGACCGTCAAGAGCATCAGCATGTGTGATATAAAAATAAATTAAGGTGTTGAGATTGTTTAATGAGATAAATCAATTCAGAACATAACGGTATTGACTTCTCATGCGATTCGAGTTTAAGATTTTTCTAGAATATCGGTAATACAAAGGATCAGCCATCTTGAATGATGATGTCAGAAGTGAGGGAAATTGCTTCCAGCATGTAACGTATTGTTTCCAATTTATATTTCATTTTGCGACATTATCCTGCCGCGTTATCCACTTACTCGAATCGAAATGATTTCACTACCTGCAGAGAAAGTAGCTTAGTGATTATTGCTCCTAATTGGTATATTCTCCTGAATTTATCAAAGATCTAAAAGAACATTTCAATCACAAATAATAATTACAGAGCTACTTTCTTCGCCGGACACAGCGGTCGATTGGTCGTTTGTAAGAAAGGCTCATAGAAATTTCCTTCCTTCTACGTATTACTCCAAGATGGCTGACATAGATATAATTAAAAATGCCTATTAAATTTTTTAAATGTTTTGTTAGAACCGCCATCGACCAGTGGGAAGTCTTATTTTAATTCGAAAAGATTCGCTCATGCACTGGATATGGAAATCAAAAGTCTGAGGTATCACGTATTTTACGGATTAGAAGATTGACTGCATTTACACGGGAGCCTGAGACCGCTTAGTAACATTCGAATAGTAGGTGTCTGCACATAATTTACAGCATAATTTAACAATGCCCGACGTTGTAATCAGTCGTGCTGTCGTGATATCGGTATTTATTGCCAAGTCGGTAATAACAAGATGGACAAGCACGTGATAACTAGCAAAGGATTTGTTCAATTAACGGTCACGACGCACGAATACCTAGACACGTTCGCGCCGAAAAAGCTCCAAAGTATCATCGGTGGATCCGCTCTTTCTCCCCCTCTCTAAAGCGTTATAACCGGAATTCTTTAACCGACATGGTTTCTTATCGTCTTCGACGCCGATCGCGAGCACATGGCAGTTTCGTGGCCAACAATGTGTCCCTCGATCATCTCTAGTAAGAATCGAGCGCACGAGGTGGCTGAATCTTAACGAAGAGATGAGTCAGCTCGCGATCGAACCGTCCTCGCTTTCTGGAACATAACCTCGATCGCATGATTGTTGTTTGTCGGCAGGAAGGATGGAAAAGCGGAAAACGTAGATCGTGTTCGGTAGCTACCACGAAGATGATCCCTTTGTCATCCATGGCGGCGCACGCAACGCACAGCGCTAGCTCCGAGAGAGAGATGGGCGGGGAGAGAGACGTTAAAGGGAAGTTTAGGAAAAGAGCGACCGATGTAACAACGTAGGGTAACGAGTTAAAATTGAAAAGAGCTCACCTGGATGTCCCTCGCCGACCGACTCCGAGGTGAAGAGAAAAGTGGTGCCCTGTTGCAGCTCGGGCGGCGTGTGACCATTCGCGTAGCCGTTCATGTGGTGCGCGGTCTCCGGCATTTTCCTGCGTTTCGGGCTCGTCGCCGCCGTTGTCGTGCTTGCCGTAATACTTCTCGAAGCTTGTTCGCGCGTCCACTCGCTGCTGCCTGGCCGATCGTTCTCTCTCTCTCTCTCTCTCACACGTGCCTCCTTCCAAAGGAATGTCTCGTCACCGCGTTTACGCGCGCTCTTTCGTGTATATCGCTGTGCAAACAATATTCTCGTTGGCGTGCGAGGGATTCGACGGGACGACAACGGGGAGAGACGGACCGAAAGGGAGGAAAAGACGCGAACGGAGATTCCTACACGCACACCGTGTAATGATCGAGGCGGAGCGAGCGCGACGCAACGCGGCGCGTTGTTGCGAGTGAAAGAGGTTCCCCGCGCGCTGCTACCCGCTATTTAACCTCGGCTCGACTACTCGCGCCCTCGGCCGGCTCGGTCCCTCACGTGACCCACCCCTTCGTAACCGCCGCGAAATTCGAACGCGCTCTGTCGTCCACGTGCTCTCGACGACAACGTGCGTTGCAGCGTTAGAACGGCATATCGCGCGCTCTATACCGACGCACAATCTCGGCAGAAATAAACGTCTCTCGTTCTGCGCGATTATCGAAAGAGAATACTTCGGTAAATAAATTCTTTATTTTGCTAATGCTTGGAATATTACGAATGCGATAGAGCTGCGCACGCACCGATATCAATTCCAACGGGACAATTGCTTTTGAAATAGAGATCTTAATTCGATGTGCATCGTGTGCTACGAAAAAGAAAAAAAATCGAAAATATCCCATTATGATGCTACAATAGTGTAATTTATCACGCTAACGTTTTCACTTATTCATCAATGTGATCCCTATGACGAATGTCCGTTACTTGCCATTTTACATACTCGTTCAACGATAACATATTCACTTATTCGAAACTTTCAATATTTCATCATGTTCGGAATGACTTGTTACTTATCATATCCAGTCCTCGTATTTTTAAATACGATCACTTAAATTGAATAGAAATTTATTTTGCGCAAAAATCGCACGCAGTGTTATCGCGAGAATATTCTTATGAAATACGATCTACAATTTTTATAAATTCTCAAATATTCCAATCGGATATTCTCTAAATATTTGATAGAATATTGTAACGCAGTGATTTATATAGATATTCAAATAAAAAAGAATAAAAAAGAATATTTATTATTAGAACGTTCGTAAAGTTTATTTACCGTGCATGTGCCATACTTTGATCTAACTAAAAAAAAAAAGTAGACAATCTTGTGATATGAATACACACACTATGACTTAATTGGAAAATGAGATTTGTATGCACGCATGAGCTTTTATATGCCTTTTCACACATGCACACACTTGTTTGCAACATTTGATAAAATATTCCATGCACATAAATGCATTTATAATGATGTTATTTGAATATATTAAGAACATACTATGAATATATAACATTTTCAGCCTATTCTATGCAAAAATTCGTAACGAATATTCATAGAACATTTATCGAATATTCCTGTGCTATCCGGGAATAATAAGACGCATTCACAATATTAAAAATGAAGATGCTAATACAAATTGAAGCGTTGAAAAATCAAGTCTTTACCGGTAATACTGGACGAGTGCGTATTTATTGATTAACGTACCGTTGTTCCCAAATTAACAAACTTATCGTGCACCCAATCGCGTTTTTCCCAAACACAGCCGAAAAACTGAGTCGCGTGCTTGCGAAATGGTGGATCGTAAGAATTCCGCAGGTTCCAGCTGTAAACTTAATCGCGACACTCTCGGCCGCGCTTTTAAAGACGTTGAAAATGCACTGTGAGCGTGAGGAAATCGTGGTCACACTTTTATATATCGCCCAACGTTGACGATAGAGTCTCGGAAGAGGGGATTTGGCAGATGTGGTGTGATGTCAAGATGATTCGACGTTTCTGACAGCGGATTAAACAAATTTCTAATATCGTCTGCCCTTTCATACTGATAGAAATGTAGAGAAGCTCGCAAAGGTCTCTTCAAAAAATGCAACCGTTAGATTTGCATTATTCAGGATCTCGCATGTGACAAAAATAAAGGTATGAATTTGCGGGGAACAACGAACAGCACGAGAAACCCTATGAGAAGTGTTAACAATTTGTTTTTTCACGTAATTATTTGTGTGACATTCCTTCTGGAGAAACATGACGCAACACGTTCGCAATGTGTTGTAACACACAGTCAATATTGTCGATCATTCCACTTCCTAGTGACGTCAAGAGTCACTCTTCGTGAAAGTAAAACTGATTCATTCGCGATTAAGTTGACAGTAGTGATAATCAACGCATGACGAGCGGTATTCGAGATAAAGATAATTATTGAGAGTGCAATCGCTTAAATTCGATTGGTCAACCAAGTGCACGGTAAATTAACGTTGCAAATTCATCGGCAGGCAGACCCAAGACTTGACGAGACTTTTTCTGTGATGTACTATGCAAAAATACTAGTCGTTTGCACTTGTACGATAACCTGCGAGATTAGGGGCTGCTATGAACTCGAGGCGTTTTGTAATCCACCAGCTACATACGCACCACAGACGAGACACACGTTGTTTTTCGCCGGGCTGAAGAAGAGGGACGTAATTTTTATCTCATATTTGTATTACACGAGGGTGACATCAGGCCATGTGACGATAAATTTCTGAACGTATGACGGGATTTAGCGAGAAGGAGCTATCATGCGTCGAGTGTCACGAAGAAATATTTTTTTCTCTTTTACAAAAACACGCCGTATCGTTTGCCGTTGATGACGCGACAAAGTCTATAATAAGCCACGATGTTGTAATACCGTTAAATCGGAATATACATTACCCATCTTATCGTATTACACGTGGAAGGATAATTCCATTTCAAATGAAAGAAAGACAATATGTAGACACGAAGTTTTCCTTCTCGACTTTGCCTGTAAATTAAGTTACCTCGTTTGCCGATGGCCGAGAAGCCAATATTTTAACAGTGATACGTTCGTATCTTTTATCAAGGGTTATTCTTGTTTGCTCTTTTCGGAATAAGAGGAACGTAATGAAATGTGAGGACATTTCAAAACAATATTCTTCGATATATCAAGAAGCAACAATATATTCTCGTTATATCTGTCAATCTCAAGAGTGCTTCCTGTTGATAAACTTTCTCAAATCATCGTTTTGATTGTGTCACGCTATTTCGAATTTTTCAATAACTCTTATCTTTTGATCGATGTACCGAATCACGATATCTGTCCCGTCAACGTGCGCCGAGTTGCTCGTAGACGTCCCTTGTACTCGAGGATCAGATCAATATCGTTCGCGGGTTCATTGAACCGTTATTATGCCCGACATTCCACGAATAGGATGCCTAATAGGTATAATTTTCATCGCTTTCATCGTTGTTGATTATTGGAAATTCTTCTTTCTTATGGAAATATGATAGACGGGAATTCGTGCTGCTGACACGTATTTCATGCTATGATAAGGAATTACTCCGCGCGATAAAAGTCACCGTGGTGTATCTATGAATTTTTTCCACTCGTCTTTTTGTAAGAAAACACTTCCTTTCTTTCATCCATTCCTCGTCGAGAAGAACGCGCAGATCTTTTTCGTTTACCATAGCAGATACTTTAAAGCGTGTTTTTTTTCATATACACCGATGACATCATTATGTGGAGCATCTAATGGACGCGTCTAATTTCGAGGGGGCTGGAAGAAAGAAATTTAGCATTATCAGCTTACAAGTTGAAGATTTAGTAATCGTGCTATTTCGATCAGACAGTTGCAGTTGAATTGCGCTTGAGTCCAATGCTGTTTACAGGAAATTCTTTGATCCGAAATGAACTCGGCCCTGATCTGTCAACGCAGTGGAATCTGTAACCTATTACGATATCGACATCGCATAATCGACGTTCGCTTTCGAAATATTCTATTTTTCTAATCAGACAATTGTTTTTACGCTGCGATTTTTACGAGTAAATTAGCTGACTATATCCATCTCTTAGGCATCGATCGTATTGCAACCGATACGTACGATCAATTCCCTTTGATGTATTATAGCGTCATAATCATCATACAAGAGACACGTGTCAACGATACGTGTTTTATCATTCGTAGCGATCGCGTTTGACGCGCGCGCGTCAAATTTCGTTTAGCTACATAATTTTACTGACGCGAATAACGTTATATAATAACCCTCAACCGACGCGTAGTTTTCAACGTAATATACATTTCGCATTGTCAAGCATTCATTTTGCATCACAATAGAACGGATAATGCCAAGAAGCATTGTTAGAAGAATATATCGGTACATACTTGTTTATGCAATTAGCTTCTTTCACAATAACAAAATTTTAAAGTGAAATTACAGTGCGTATGTATGCGACAATGTCGTCATATGCACATCACGTGTTCGCTTTTGTCATCTAAGCACAAATTGTTGTAATCCGATGTAACAAAAGCTATTGGATCATTGAAACTTGAGCGCGACAACGAAATTTGTCAAAGACGGCTGAAAAAAAGGAAGTTTTATCTACGATGAGTATCTGTTTAAAGGTATTCTCAAGCGCGCGCATGCCTATCATTGTGTAACATTGAATGTTGATACCAACGGAATTTCGTTATCTCTCTCGGGATAGAATTTCGAGAAGATAACGCGAGGAATCTCGGCTGGTCACTCGCCGTGACGTTAAAAAAAGATTCTATGTCCTTCGAATTTTCTTACAAATCCGTGCATTTCGCTGTGTAATCGTTGTTAAATGCTTAAAAATGTCTTCAAATTTTTCCGAATCGGGGTTTACGATTAATTTTGGGCGCATACCGACGTTGCGTGTGATTTCGATGAAAAGTTTGATCAGTCTGCTTAGAAAGCAAAATTGAGTAATCTGCGGACCGGAGGAGAAAACTAAAGAGAGACAGAAGTCACTCGCCTCAACCTTGACCTCTGGCAACCCTCCTCTCGTTCTGCCGCGCTGCCTGAGAGAGAGAAAGAATTTCTCTTCCCTCCTACCTCCTCTTTCTTTCACCTAACTCGCATCCTCCGGTTTCAACTCCTTATATGCGTCTTAGCCGCGGAAAAAGCCGACGATCGATGCCCAACGAGAGAGGTACCGTCGCTGAAAATAGATGAGCGAAGTCTCCTAAATGTTAAAGCCGGCCCCTCACGCCCGCTTTTAAAACACCCCCGGCTAATCGACCGTCCTTTCATTCGCGCGTTCAACGCAGAGAGGGGAGTTTCGTATGTTTTCCCAATATCTCCTTTTCTCTGAATACTTATTGTCGAACGAACGACATAACAAATCTTGCGTCGGTTCCAGGGTATCGCCAAGTGTGGCGATTATAAAGGGGCTGACTAATCGAAAGTTATCGGTTACACAATTGAGTGCGCATTATTGCTAGCAAGACCTCATAATAATATTGCAACGTGGGAAGCCATTTATCTTTTATGCGCAACGCCTCACTGATAGTACACACTTGATAGTACTCATTTCAATATAATCTTGCAACATTTTAAACAAACAGAGAGACTTTGTGAATTCTCCTCGCAGATTTGAAGTAACCGCGAAGACCGATACAAGACCGATGAAACTTTCTATGAATAATCAAATCGCGATAATCATAAGAGAGAGAGAGAGAGAGAGAGTAACGTAAATTAATCATAACATCTGATTTGAAAGCGTTTAATCGTTGCACTATTGATTCCCTTCGATATTCTACGTGGAAATACTCGGAAGATATATACGTCACAATTTCAGATGCAGGAAGATAAACAATTTGAGCGGAATAAAATGGACGCTACTGTAATAGTGAAACCATTCAATACGATTGGATAAATCCGTTCGCTGCTATGAACCGACGGTCTCACAATAATCTCCGCAGTAATGTCGATAACAACGGCTTCGATCGCACTTTTGTGGCTGTCGCGTTCTCGCGGCAAATCTTGCAAGTGACGCAGTTGCAACGGAAATGCAGCAGAAGGTAAGCGTTTAAACTGGCGCGGATAATTTCATTCAACTTTGTCTTCTCCGGCAGACAGTAATACACAAAGAGTAGGTACAAATGCATTTTTAGTGAAAGTAAACGAACAAATTTATTGCATTTATCACATTAACGTCATTATATAACAACACGTATGTGGTTAGTGACAATAAAGTTGCGACACTTTTTTTCGATCAATTTTGCAATGCATCTCGTATCCAATAGGAAAATGTATCTCCTGAGAATTAATAAAAACAAATTAGACACGGAATGTATTCCACAATAAAAAGTATTGCAACCTTTTCGTGACTGATTACGTAGAGTGGATACGAATGTTGTACTGTACAAATCGATAATTTCAAGTAATATTTAAAGATAAAAAAGGAAAAAAAGTAATATTTATGCTAATTACGCCAATATTTCATTCTTTACAATCGCGGTTCGTTATTCCTCAAATGCTTCTCTCGTTTTTACAGCCGCGAGATTGCTGACTAGATTATACATACATTCGAGAAATTGAATATCTTTAGTAATGATGTCAGGTATACTTGATCTCGAACAGTCTGTTTTCCTTGGTCGACGGAGAGCTCAATCCGTTCAAATTCAATTCAAACCATTTCCAGAAGATTATAATGATCGAAATGACGACTTATTTAGAGTGTTTGATTATTCACAGGATATTTATTCTGGCAATCTTCATCAAAGAAGTACATTAATTTCTACTTATCACTCGTATTATATTCAGAATCAATTTGATTCCCGAATTTATTTTATATTTTATTTTATTTATTTTATAAAGTTGAGAGAGAAAAGATCGCGACGTGTTCGTACGTGCGTGTGAAAATAAATCGTTTCGTGTTTGCGATCAAGTTAAGCCACACGAGTATAAACGAAAGAACGCTTTTATTCTCATAAAGAGAAACGAATGGTTCTTATCAACTTGATGTCACAATTATGAAATGCATTTTGACACGTATTACTGTATGTATTCTGATCTTGTCGTCAGATATAAAATATGGATAACAAAAGCGAAAATTAAATTTTTTTTCATTTCTACTGCTTACTGAATTTTTTCATTGTTTCAATACGATTTGATGCATTTGGTAAACGACTATATATTATATAAATATAAAGAAAAATATGAATAAATATAAATAAATAAATATAGGCGATACGTGGAAATGAACCAGTACTCAAACTATCAAATAATTGAAAAACATTGAAATCTTCATTCGTCGATGTAGCTTTACAAGTTCGTACAATCGGGAGTGTGCAAATGATCGATAGATTTTAATCGAATTGCAACACAAAGGGATACAGCTCGCAGATTTGTTTTACATGCATGAGCGTGCATTTCCTAGAGGAATGTTGTTTGATTTGAAGAATAATAAAATACGTTCGCGTTGTATGCAAATCCAGTAACGTCTGCGTTAACGATCCAAGGGAGAGAGAGAGCATATTTAATTCTAACGCGATTAAAAATATTTGTCGAAATCGCGGACTACGAGTAAAGAGTTCGTTCGACACATTTTCGTTACGATTTTTATCTTGCAGAAAAAATCACGGTTCACTGTTCTTACATGGTCGCGGCGGCAGCTACCTTGGCTGATCGTCGGAGTTGTCGGGCAGGCCGATCAAGGTCGTCGGTATATATGAGTCTTCTTTGTAAGTTGGGTTTCGCCAGGTATCATTGATTACCTCGATCTCGAGCGGCAAAGTACGTCTCCTTAGTGAAGCTCCAAGTTTCAGTTCGGAGTGTGAACATAGGTGCCTCCTCCTATACTCGTGTTTCGTTCGTTTCTTCAGAAAAACAATGTGGAAACGATGGCAACTTTATTGCATCCTGTTGCACCTGTGCGCGGAGGTGCAATCGACCGAGAAAACCGCCCTTGACTCACCTTTTAATATATTGTTAATCCGCGCTTTTCGTGATTGGACTTTCGACATCTTCGGTATGTATAATTAACAGAGTGAAGTATACAAAAGCGAGGATCATTCTGTTCGATCTTTCTTCATTAAAAAATGTCAACAAGTCTCCCAAAAAATTAATTATTCGTATATTTATCTAATGTGAACTATAACAATGATTTTGTAACGTTTCATGGCGTGTACGTTACATATGTGCATCTGCGACATAATTAATATATTTTATCTTGTTGAACTAGTAGGTATGAATTGTGTTTTTTCATCCATTATTGTTCACTGATTGTTCATTTTATTAGTTCCGTTCACTTACCGCAAGCATTCCGACAAGAAGGTCGATACCAATCGGTATCTACTCTAATTTTCAAGCCATTATTGCTGCTATTGGATACATCAGTAGCTAGTAATTTAAACTCAAGGAAGAAAAATATAAGTCGAGCCTTGTACGATTTTTTTAAGAACTCATAAATAATATTTAAGATTGCTCTCTCTCTCTCTCTCTCACCCCCTTTTACTATAGAATCAATTCCACAAGAGTGTGTACACCACATCATACAGTCCTGTAAGTGACTGGATTCTGACGAGTTTAGTAGAGACGGGCATCGTCCACTTTGTCATGTGATATATGTTCTCGTGACGTTTCGTATTCGATGCGGACGGACGTAATCCGAGATGAGTGAAGTGTATTAGAAGTATATTTGTAGCGGTGTGTTTTTGTATTCGAAAAGCCCACAAATATCATATAAAGAGGCTGCTAATTATATTGGAATTTCGTTCGAATTCGTTCAAAAGTGAATTGCGCGGTTTAAAATGAGTCACAATGTTGATGATTTTTTAAAGCGCAGAAAAATACGAGCCACGAGATTAACTGCAAACCAGATTGTTGTTATTAACATTTAATTACTAGGAACTAATTACATTGGTCAACAAGATTTCGGTGGCAAAACCTATATTTTGTGTTGACTTTGTTTTTCATGTCTGATATTTAAAAATTCGTCATTTTTATATAGTCTGTTGCGACCAAATCCATCTTGTGATGTAAGCCACGACATCGCGCGATAATAAGCCACAAGGCTTAAAAACATGATTTATTAATTTTTTTATAGATATTTATTTTACCTTCTTTTAATTCTTATAGATCTTCTTGCAGATGTGGTGGTATATACGATCTTGTAAGATATATATACTTTCTCGTGATTTTCCTTTATTTCTCTTTTGCATCATTTTATTATTGTTTCTTTTTGTCTTACGATAAATGTAATGACCAAACTTTTGTACGTTGCATTTGTTCACAAAGTATCTTGATAAAAGAAAAAAAAAGAGTAATATATGCCTCTATTATTAAACGTTCTCTAGAAGAAATGATTTTCTCTCCCGTGCGATAAACGAATGTAACACGCGTCTTCGCAGTTTCTTCCTACCTCATTATTTGCTCTTCTCTGCATAATTCATTGTTCCAGCCGATATAATTGAACGTACGTATCGAATTACATCTTGGTTCACATTATTCCTAACTTTTGCTTTATTTCGTAAAGTGGTATTTTTTCATTTGATTTCACCTCCTCCTCGCTTTCCTACTTAAATGCATTCAACTCGAACAAGAATTGTTACTCTTTAACGCGCGATTTTACGGCGTAAAAAATGAAACTTTATCCTTCAAATGACGAGACGCTTATATCATTCACTGCATTCTTTCCTTAGTATGCTATGACATTTGTTGATTTTGCAGGCAAAACAGGAACAGAAGGTGGAAGAAACCTCCAAATAGCGAGAGATGCACAAACAACGCAGCAAATTGTTCCCGACCATGTCCCATTTCCTTGTAACGTAACCGGTAAGGCCGGTGATATTGTATGTACATGCAGAATATATTTCAGCGGTGAATATTTCAGGCGGCAGGTCGCAAGAAGTACCGGATTCGGTACATAAATTAAGGCCGGGCGATATCGATGTCATTGCCGCGATGGGCGACTCGCTGACGGCTGGAGCTGGGATTTTCGCGAACAACCTGTTTCAAATAATAGTAGAAAATAGAGGAGTTACCGCGCTTGGCGGAGGTCAAGGCACATGGAGACAATATGTGACTCTTCCAAACATCTTAAAGGTCGAACCATTCATCATTTTTTTCTCATGGAATCATCTTTTCTCTTGCGTAATCTTTAGCTCATGTATCTCGCGCTATTAACGTCATATCCTAAAAATAATTTAGCAACAAGGCAATCGATATTATCCAAAACTCCTGGACTTTCTGAATTAATAGAACGTGATAAGCGAGTAATGATTGAGAATGAGATGCATTAATTTAATTTATATCTTTTTTTATGTCGTGCATGTATGACTCCACTCAGCTTGCGTATTCATCGACATTTATGAGAAACGACTCTTATTTGGAGCAGTGTTTGTACTATATTACTTTCGAACATACTCTTACCCAATTTGTTAAATCTGATGCACATGATGGTAGAAAGAAAAAGAAGATACGAATGTATTTCGTAATCGGGTAATACTGATCTGGTATTCGTCAAGCAATAATTATGAAATTAAACGACAGTGTGTATGTGTGTGTGTATGCGTCAATGAGTCACTTAAAAATGTTCAATATACAGGAATTCAACCACAATTTGATAGGCTATGCACTGGGGGATTCGTTGACGACTCATAATGCATCGCAATTGAATGTCGCTGAAAGCGGTGCTATGTCCGATGATATGCCTTATATGGCAGAAACGTTGGTCAAAAGAATAAAAAACGACCCGAGAATAGATGTGGAGAAGCATTGGAAGGTTTGTTACATTCGATAGACCTAGTTATATTTATAAGATGAGGCAATGGAAATAACATATGCTGTTGCTTTGTAATCGATTGCTGCTTCTTTTACAAAACTTTAAATTTCACTTTCTTCTTTCTGCGCAACAATATAATTACTAGTCCTTGCAACTTTTTTAGCACTTAAAAAATTTTCCACTCACAATAAGCTGTCGTCGTTGTGTGCATCGAAAATACCGCGTTATCAACACTAGTCAACAAGTAAAAATGTTTAGTAAGATGAACCAAATGAGGTGGTTCTTAATCATTTTCATTCACTGAATATAAAAATATCAAAACTCTGTAGCATGTACAACTTTTTGTTATTGAAATATTTAGCAGGACCTGATTTTTAATAAAAGTATCTATTTTCCTCCAATCACTTTTACATCGTGAGATGGGCTTAAAGTATACTTTTTCACATCATTTTTACATCGCGAGATGGTTTGGCATTTTTTTTCCCACGTCACTTTTACATCTTGAGATGGGTTCATATCACTTTTACATTGTAAGATGAGTTTGGTCGCAACAGATACAAAAATGACGAGTTTTTGAATGCCAGACATGAAAAACAAAGTCAACGGGAAAACAGAAAATGTAGGTTTTGCCACTGAAACCTTGTTGACCAGTGTAATTAGTTCCTGGCAATTAAATGTTAATAACAACAATCTGGTTTGCAGTTAATCTCGTTGATGATCGGAGATAACGACTTTTGCACCAATATATGTTGGGATTCTTCACCTTGGTCACTTCTCGATAAACACAAAGCCGATTTGCTTCAAGCTTTGACGACATTGAGAGATAACTTGCCACGAACTTTAGTGTCGCTGATTCCGCCGCCACATTTGAAAGTTTTAATTGACAGTCGTAAGGGTAGACCATCTTTTACATGTGATCTTGCGACGGATTTCGAATGTTCTTGCATGTTTGGCCTTAGATATCAAAGTTTTCTACCAGAATATTATAAGATTATGAGACGGTCAGTATATAACAATACAAATAATACTTTTATTAAATAACTTGTATGAAAAATTCTCTCAATCTTTTAATTTTTACTCGTTTTTGAAACATTTCACAAAAATTATCGATAGTGAAAGATATGTATATGCATCAATGAAAAAATTTTAAATACATTTCAGATGGCAAGAGTTAGACATGGAAATCTCTATTTATCCTGAATTCCAGAGGGACGACTTTGCAGTCGTAACTCAGGCTGTTACATTAGGTTTAATCATGCCACTCGCTTCCGATGGATATGCCGATACGACATATTTCAGTAGAGATTGTTTTCACCTCAGTCAGAAAGCTAATGCTCGATGTAAATTCGATGTTTTCTTTTACTTGGGAAATACGGAAAACTATATTTAACAACGAGAAAATCTTTAATTCAATTTTGAACAAATACGTTTTTCTTGCAGTTGCAAACGGGTTGTGGAATAATTTATTCGAACCAGTTGGCATTAAAACGACATACTGGCAGGATCTCTTTGAGAGGTTTCTTTGTCCGACTCCGGAAAGGCCTTATTTGGCTACATTGCAAAATTCTCAAGTAGACCTTCAGCGAAATAAGTCGTCCTTGTGAAGAATACTTATTTGACGAGGGAGAAAGAGAAGTAAATCAGTCAACTGTAGTGCGATAATGCCGTATTTAAACAGAGTGCCATAGTTATTTATATATAATCAAAACGCTATAATGTATTTGTCAATTTTTAATAGAGCGGAACTTGAGCTTAGAGATGGGAAATAATAATTTCACTCTATAAAGTATAGTTAATTTGCGAGTCATGCGAAAGTATGGCATATTCAATGTAATTTCCAAGAAATAATCATACGATTTTTAGTAAATATCGGGAGGAGTACGCGCAAATGGTGCAAGCGGATGTTAATATAAGAAACTATGCCGTTTGTCGTAACACCGTCTCGTAGCACCATCACTCTTACTCACGTACTTCCTCAACAACTACCGCATAGGAATACGAAAGAATGCGCGGGTATCTTGAACATGTTCATCGTAAAAGTGGGGGTCACATCGATGAGCTCGAAGGCGTCTCTCTTCGACCCGTTTCATTCATGTTTAGAGCTGTCATCTGGTAGTGCCGGTGAGGCGAATCGGTCTCTAGATGCTATTTACGTGCAAATCGTTGCAAATCTGGTTTTGAATTGTTTCGAAAACAATCCATCAGGAACAATTGAGCGACAGTTCAGTGCTTGGATGAGTGTTTAATGACTTGCCGATTGTCTGTGTAGAAAAAAATTTAAAAACTAACATAACGATTTGATTGCATTTCTACCGAAATTATAGCGGGACTATATAGTGCAAAAGATTTAATTACGATGGAAAGTTCCTCAGTGTTTTTAACAAGGAATTATACGGCGTCAAGTTGACGCCATTCCTCGATTGTAACAATGCGGAATTACAGATCATTGGTGAACAAGGTATTATATATTTTTATCGCACATTTATATATATAAGCCGTGAAGGAACGCGACATAATTACATAATTGAAAAAAATGAGATTAATTTTTATAAATAACGATTTTATAGACCTGCTTGTATATTTTTCTTACTTACGTGCTAAAAACGTCCCCTAATGTGTACTTGAATATTCTGTATTTTTTCGCACAACATGCGACAAATCGCATTTTCTAAAGATATTACGCATGATTTATGAAAATGCCTAGCGGAGCTGGGACGTGAACTTGGACACTAGCGAAAGTCCGTCTTTCATATCTTAAAGGGGATTTCCTGAGGCGACACTTTCAAAGTCTTTGTTGACTCCTTCATTTTTCATTTTCTTTATGAGCAAATTATGCGGAAACATTATTCCCTGGTCAATTTAAGAGTGAGATCCGTCGATACCATTTACAGTAAAGATACAAGATTGTATGTCTTAAAGTCGAAAAAAGAAGTTGGAAAATGCAAATAAGTAACTACATTGCTCAAACGGGATTATCAGCAAAATTAACCGAACGACTCTGTCGCCACAGATTTACACCGTGAAATAAATGAGAATCTGCTCCATCAAAACGGTCCTCTCGTATGCTCAAGTAACGACCAGTGTCCGTCAAAGTTTGCAGTTCTCTCTGGTCGAAGACTCGGAAGGCCTACCGTGGAGAACATCCGTGTTGGAGGACCCGCGTCGATGGCGGCCGGAAGTCTCATTCAACCACGTCGAGGAGCGAACGTAATCTTCCAACATGGAATGATCAGCGACTGACCGCACTTAAATCGAGAAAGGGCCGTCAATTTCCGTAACGCTCGCTGCTAACGCTCGCGCGAGTCATGAGTGTCGTTCATTTGTTTCTAGTCATCGTTGCTCTCCATCTGGCTGACTGTTCCTTCTTTATGGACTTTATGCGTAACATAATACAATCGGGGAGGGTAAGTTGTGGGCATTGAAATTATTTATCTCTTTCTTAGCGTTTTGATCACTCGTTAATTCGATTGCTCAACCGACGAGTTTTTCGGTGGATCGATAAAAAAGCTGAATAATGACGTCAAGAATGATATTACAACATCTCGTGAAACCGGAAGGTGCGCACAGCTCGAAAAGAAGAGTACTTTGCATTCTGAGCAATCGGAGAAAGGCGTTTCTTTTCGCCGGCCTCGTTGGCCTGCGGTAGAACCTTGTCAAGACAGCTTTAAAATGCTCTTATGGGCTGGTAATATCGATGCATCCTTTGTGTGTGCTTTCCGATAAACACCCCTCTTCTCATAAATATTCAAAAACAGCTGTCCGCGGAACTAACGACGAAAAATTTTTCTATATTTTTTTATTGATCGATCATAAGTTAGATATGATGATCGAATATACGAACATAGTAAAACAGACGATAGAAAATATTTATAACGTTTCCGAAAGCTTGACGGGACAGAAACTACGAACCATTTAATCAAATGTTTAAGGCAGTTCATGTCTTTTTCGGCGGCGGTGAAATTATTTATATGCGTCGGTATTTAAGTCGCGCGACGCGATGGAATGCAAATGGAAGAAAGCAAGAGTGTAAACGTGTGTCGTTTGTAAAGCGCGCTAATCGACACCGCCTTAAATGTCCCGTCAAAAAGCTGTACATGAAGAGTCGTTATGCCTCAAGGAGGAGGAGGGTTCATTGAAATTTCATAATTTCCAGAACAAGGTGGATGAAACTGGAATATCATATCCGACGGTCTATAATGTACGAAGGCAGCCGATAATTTCCGATAGCGTTCCATTTCCTTGCAACGTGCATTCCGCCAGGTATAATTCGACCAGGTCTCGTTCTCTCAATATTCCTCGTAATTAAAAGAATTTTCACGTCCAAATAACAATTTCCTCGTTTGTGTGGAAATTTTCCCCGATAGGTTTTAAAAATATCAAAGAGGATTAAGTTCGATTTTTGAATCTCAGAAAATGTATCCGCTCTTTTCTCACAGATCGCTGTCGACACCGGACAGCGTTCATCGTCTAAGACCAGGCGACATCGACGTAATCGGTGGTCTCGGTGATTCCTTGGTCGCTGGGAGCGGTGCATTGGAGGAATTCGCTGTCGGAACTTTCATCGAGGCACGCGGGGTCAGCTGGTGCGTCGGAGGTCAGGCTAACTGGAGACGATTCTTAACACTGCCCAATATTTTAAAGGTATGTATCGTCGTTCTCAACATTCTTCTATCGATGTTGCAACGGTTTTCTGTCGTGTTACGTTCAGCAGGAAGGACGAGTTACTATACTCGGATAATTGATATATGTCGCTCAGGTGTTTAATCCAAGGTTAACCGGGTACGCTACAGGGACGGGTGAATTTATCTCGACCGCAGCGAGACTGAACGTCGCCTTCCCAGTCGCTGCTACCGAGGACGCGTTGCAACAAGCGAGAATCTTGGTGCGGAGGATCAAGAGTGACCCAAAGATAAACGCGAAAAAGCAATGGAAGGTAACAATTAGACTCTTCTTATCTCCTTCGTCGTGAATTCCTCCCGGTGAAAAAAGAAAAATAGAAACGATCCTTTTTATTTTCCAGCTCATCACGATTCTATTTGGGGCTAACGACGTCTGTTCGGCGCAATGTTACAACCCGGAATACTTCTCGCCGATGCGTTACGCCCTGCATCTACGGAAAACGCTCGATTTTTTAAGAATCACTTTGCCCCGTACGCTGGTCAATCTGGTTCCAGCCATAGGTGATTCCAGCTCGTTTAATTAATCTTGTAGGCCAAACCGAACGAGTGGTACGATCATTTATTTTTCGGCAGATGTCACGGTCTCGGTTAGGGTGACGCGAAGTGCCATGTGCAATATATTGCATCCTCTTTACTGTGCTTGCATGCACAAAGATGGTCGATCGGAAATCGCCGCTTCGAAAATGTCGCAGCTCTATCAACAGGCTGCCGAAGCATTAATCTACTCAGGAAGGTACATTTTGTCGTTCAATTCGATCGTGACAATTTCCTATCCTTCGCAACACTCGGTCGAGACGAAACATCGTTCCTTTCTTTTAGATACGACGATTCTCCGGATTTCACGGTGGTTTTGCAGCCGTTTGTTAAATTATTCAATGCACCTAATGCAGATCCTACTGGCGCGCCGCCGATCGACTCCAGCCTGGTTACGTACGACTGTTTCCATTTTAGTCAGAAAGGGCACGCACTCGGTGAGAAACATACACCGCGTTTATATTGAATGTTTACAAGAAAAGTATTTATTACGAAATTCTATAATAGATAACAGCAAGTGACATTATCGACTGTCGTTTACTGTTATCGCTTGATTGACGCCTGTTGATAGCAGAAGGAAAGTTTGGATGATTGCGTGCTACCAGGGACAACGATGTTACCGTATCGAACGCACGAGGAAAAGTTCGATAAAATTATTTTCTACTCGAAAACATCAGTCCTTTCATCAAAATATGAAATATTATTAGAATTCGCAAACTGTATTTGCATAATTTGCTATTATCTCTGCAGCATATACTCAATATTATATAGAATAAATATCAATAGTCGTGAAAATTAAAATTGCTTTTACATTTTGCAACAATTGAGTCGCAATTATTAGAGAAAAACGAAATTACTCCTACCGATATTGCGCGTGAAAATGTTTCATTTGCGAACCGGCGTAATATACTCTGTTAATCATGTCAGAGACACGTAATTATGTATTTATGAATGCATGAATTAATGTTCCGACAGAAGCATAGCGATAAATATTATATTTAGGAAGTATGTCGTTATGCAACAAGACATCCTTAGCGATAGATGTATTCGAGCGAAGGTCAGCTAGTTTGCGTCAATTAACAATTGTTCACCGGTTTACACAGTTAAAAATAAACGAATGGGCCGAGCGACGCATTCGCGGACAATAAAATGATCGTCGGTCCCTAGCAGCTGGCTCGCATTGTCAATGTGTGTGCGCTCACACCTTCATTAGCAGCGTTGTATGGTCAAGACAAATCATTAAACGTTCCTTAGACGGTGTCAACAAGAGTCACGGTGAAAGAGAACGTCACACTAGTCGTCGTTAGCGAGATATTCTTTTGCGAAAATAACCAAGCAATGGCAAAGAGTAATGTACTATTTTTTTCTTTTTTTTTTAATTTCAGGTGCTAACCTTTTATGGAACAATATGTTGGAGCCGGTCGGAAACAAGACGGAAGTGGGCTTGCCGGGAATACTGCAAAGAGTGCTCTGCCCTACGGAAAGCAGGCCTTACATCTTCACGAATGTTAATTCGCGACTTTTCCGAACAACCGGCCGGCAAGATGGGATCGTGCCTAAATAGCGCAAGTACTGCTGACGAAAATCTTATGATCAAAGGATGCAATATTTACTTGCGATTGCAATGCCTCGTTCTGTAAAATTTCAGAAATTGCATTTAGGAACGCGTGACAAATTTGCATCACTTTACGGCTACAATTCGAGGATATTTTAAGCGAATTACGGCAAGTTCGAAGTCCACTATGCCAATATCCGGCTGAGGCACGAGCAATACGGAGAATTTTGTTTTATTCAAATATACCATATCAGGAAATAACTGATTTGCATAGCGGGGACGTCCCGAAATCTCTCGTTAAGTATCTCTTTCACATTCCTACGAGGAGCGCATTTTCAAAATGCAAAAGTTAATATATTTAGAATTCAAATGAAGATACTATATTTAGCTTTGTACTATACCTCATTCTATTTAAATAACTGTACAATTAAATATTAATTTACGCAACGGAGATGTAAGTTTCTTTGTATAAGGCAATGATATTTATGACAGCTATTTTATCGATAATCTCGTTAATAAGAAAGTCGACAAAGCGATTGATCTTTTTTAACGAGATGAGTCGGTTAAAGAAAGACGATGACCTGTATAAATTTTCATGGCTTTCGTATTTTAAACTCGTTTTTGCTGTTCCGCGAAAGTTCCCGTTTACTTGTGAACTTTCTTGCAAGTATTCGTGGAGTTTCGGGTAGAAAGTGACATATTATCTCGTAGACTAGATACGTCGTTAATTTCCATATGCAATTGAAATAAAAATAATGATATAAGAAAGTACATTGGCTGATAAAGCTAGTTCACTATGTTACTTGTAAATCTTCGAGACAAACGCATATTGCTACGGATAGAATGATAGACGCATGAATATGAAAAATCGCATTTATTTGGTATTCTTCGCAAAAATCATATCCGTTAGAGAGGTTTTATGTGTTAGACGCGTAATGTAAAAATATATCTCGGGGATATTTGTGCCGCGTTGCATCACACATGATGCGCAATTGCGCCAAAGCGCTAATTTAAGTGGGTACAATCTCGACCCCATCTTCGTGATTGTCCGGAAGAATTGCTCCTGCGGTGATCGGTGGGAGAAATCTTCACAAGAGATACCAGAGAAGTAGACTGAAGAAGTGTCGCCGAGTCTGCTCTCCGAGATATTTGCTAACACGTCATTGAACGCTTCTCGATTTGCATCGAGCCCACGCGCTAGGAAATTGACCGTGACTTCGACCGTTATAGATGTGTCTCCACGTTAATTCTGATCTTCCGGCGTTTTGAGACAGTGAATTAAAATATCTTAAATATCAAGGAGAAGATAGAGAAGTTTAATTAAACAACTTCTCGAATTGCTACTATAGACAAGACGTTCTTCGAAATTTTACAGAATTCATTGTCATTATCTTCGATGATCGATGATCGTAAAATGTGCTGGAAAATGTTCTAGAAAAATCTACTGACCGTCATATATTTCAGTCACATATTTTATATATAAGCGTATATAATTTCTCTCTCTCTCTCTCTCTCTCTCGATTTTTACAATTTATTTTGTCCCACGGTTACATATATATATATATATATATATATATATATGCAGTTGTACTGTTTTCATGATCTATTATAAGAGAATTAAAAGTCATGCCTCTATAAAAACGTAATAATAGATAATAGGTTGTTAGTTATTATAGCCTAATTATTTGAAATTATTCAACTCACACAATGTAAAGCGCTGATCGAGTGTGCTGTAAATTAGCGAAGAAGAAAAAAATCGTTCAGCTTTTCAGCAAAAAGAAAACCTTGAACCCCGAGTAAACTATCGAGCGCTCATCGACACCTCGATTTCTTCTACCGTTCTAAAACCGTTAACGTAGGGTCGTGTTTCTTTTACCGAGGAACAAACTAAATGTCAGAAATGAATTACTCGAATTGAATACAGATGAATCACATATTTCTTGTTCGATGAGCAAGCAACACCAGCGAAAGTACTCGTGCGTGGATAAAAGAATGCGTGAACTTCGGGAGGACAATAGCGGAAGAAGCGAGCCAAGAAGATACCACGCCGGGAATGTTAATCGACTTTAATGTCCAGGTACTAAGGCCGAAAAAATTATTCCGGAATAGTTATACAAGAAATCAAGCATAATTTACCTCGGCTGTGTCATGTGGTCAGCTATAAATATCTACAGCATATATGGAACTTGGAATTTTGGCTACGACAATAATGTATAAAGGTACTACAATAATTATCTTTGTTAAAATAGTTATATCGGGCAAAAAATGAATCATAACCGAATGCATAACATCCGTATTATTTTGATAAATCTCGTGATATTATCAATCATGCCTTGCTGAAAATAAGATTTACAATATAATTTCGAATCTTGTTCTTGCATTTTTCTCATAATTGAAGGCACGTGTGTTGGTGTTCTTATATAATTTATGCATGCGATAGAAAAAATTAATTGTACGTTGCAACTGCGTCGCAGTATGTGTATAATTTCAGTTGATTCCACATGATAATAAGACAGAGCGCGTGTATAACGAGCAAAAACTATTGAGCTTAATGTTACTAATTACATGAACTGTGACGTAACTTCGACCCGCAGCTAGGCGATACCTGGACTCATACGCTTATGTCCAAAGTACGAAACGATGGAGAATTCGACGAAATCTGGAATGAATTTATTCATCCGCGGACTTCCCGCTAATATTTTTGCACTGCGTAAAATAATGTTTAATTGTGATATCGCTGAATTCGCGATATGGTCGTTGTGCCGTTTTCAGTGAACTTTAAGATACTGGATCAATTAATGTAAACATTACATAAGTAAATTTAATGAGGGTTATCACCATCGTGACACCGCGTTCGATTGGGTAACTGCGCTGGTGTGACTTCGTCTATCTCGAGATAAAAGCCGTTCGCCGGCAAACGTCGGCCTATCAACTGCGAAGAAAATTTATTGGGAAAAATTGTATAATATCGAGGAAATATACGTGAACGTAAACATGACTTAATTATATTCACAATTTACGGCACGGTAAACTACGTCCCTTTTTCCCGTTGTCCTTCGAGTTCTGGTCGAACTTCAGTCGGGGCAATCATTTCTTTTCTCCTTTTACCAGGTATCTCTTTCCTGATCGATAACTCTCACAACAAGGCCGACCGGAATATTATGTGTCGTAGCATCACGATGTATACGCTCACGCGCATTGCAACAGTCCAAATAAAAACGAATAATAAGAAGAAAATAAGAATTAAAAATAAGTACATAAATAAAAAAAAAACTCGATGCACGTTTTTCGTGAAATCACGTTGTCGACTGTTTTTGTTAAGACGTCCTAACACGTGATAAAAATCCTCACAAATTGTGCGATTCGGTTTCTAACGAGTGTTTGTGTTCAAATCAAATCAGAAACGACTCTACACGGCTTATCGATGTTTACTTGAAAACTGTAAAGCGGGAAACGATCTCGATTGTTTTGCGCAGACGAAAAAAAAAGGCCTGTATCCCGATTTTATGTTAAATCGTTCTTATTATTAACCGTACTATAACAACGAGCGTACACGAAAAAAAAGATAACAAAACAATAATAATACTGAGAAGAGAGAAAAAATGCCGAGGAATCAATATATTTTTATCGCGGAAATGAATAGTATCACCATGGACGGATTATATATACAGCTTTTATATTTCAAACTGAATAATTAAATATATATATATATATATATATATGTATATATAACCGCGCACAGTCTCAATTATATAGCATATTTCATAGCATCTTCGTAACGGCGATAATCTTCAGTCGCGTCGGAATGTAAAACTTGAGCTCGTCGAATAAGGACAGGAGCGGCAAGGACGTGCGGTGAAATCAAACGGAGAGATGTTTTAAATAAATATTTGATATTTATTGAAACTATCGTGCGCACAAAAGTCAATCAAATATAAATTAGATGGAAATTACTGTGCGACAACGTGGACGTTATGATACTAATTACCTATGATAATAGATATCTAATACTGCTCTTGACTAGTAGCCTAAGATTGGCACTCGCTCTCATCCGCGAGTGAAAACTAATTGTCCTTTTCGCAAGTTCCGCTGGGCGTTCCAACGAATCTTAAATTCTAATTAAAAAAATATGGCACACCGACGACGGTTTCCCGCGATTGCAACACGCGCAATGAGCGAAGTCGATGAAATGAAACTGTCCATCCGGCTGTGGCGGAACATTTCCTTCTCAACGATGCCTCTTCATCGATTAATTGTTAGTCCTCCGTGTGGAATTCCGCTTGGATTGCGCGTCACTTTCCATCAGCCGTTCGCTCCACCGGAAGGAAAGACGTGATCGCTAGAGAGACTGTCGATCACGAACGGTCGAATACAAGACAGCGAGAGTCCTTCTCACGGTCGACGGGAATCACTTCCTGCCCCATTGCAGGGTTCCTCGGTGACTGTGCAACGAAGCATGGCATCGACCCAGAGACCCGTGACTGCCCTTGGAGCTGTCGCTGCCGGAACTCGAGACGCTCTCGGATCTTCTGATCGGCTTCTTCGTGGGGTCCAGCAGGCGATCCAGCATCTGACGAATCGTGCTGTGTTTGCGGTTAAACGGATTGGTGTACATGTTGATCCTCGAGATTTGCTCTCCGCGACACTTGGCACACTGTCCGCGTTGAAAACTGTTAACGCATCGGACGTCTCTCGCTCTGCGAATGGATACGTAGGTATCGGCCGGTCGGCTTTTATACGGGACGCCCCCGTCCGGCGGCCTTCGATCCAGCTCTCGCGCGTACGAGTGTCAGTTGCATCGTAAGGGCGAGAGGCGACCCACGTGTCGCGGCGTTGACTCGTTTCACGACGACGGAAAAAAAAACTCACTGGATGGGACTCCCCTGCTCGAATCAACATATTCATTCCTCGACAGTTCTTTCCGATGTATTATTTTTCGTCCCGTCAGAAAATTCTATTTTATTTTTCAACAAACATTCTCAAAAAATATGATGTAACGTTAAACGAAATTCCATACTTCTCCAATTATTCCGTTATTTCGACGGCGCTTAATGGAGAGGGGGGGGGGGAATGCTTATTTCGACACGCTGACGCCCGAAAAGATTGGTCCCACGTCATTTGTAGGAGCTCGTTCTTGCAGAGAGCCGCCAATAGCGACGAGAAGAGGCATGCGAGCACTTTCGTAAAACCACATTGATTTCAGTCACTCAAATTGCACTGTAACACCGAGAAGACCATTGGCGCGACTCCGATAATTGTCGCGATGACAATCAACTGTAAGCCGAGAGAGATCGCCGCCAGCGAGACGGCAAAATATAATTTTCCGCTTATGAAGGCGGCTAGACGGGAAACATTTATTCTCGAGAATACAATTTTCTTCCGTCGGCGATTCGAAGAAGAAAAAAGAGACGACTCTGCTGGAAAAAAAATTCTTCGTCGTTCATCCCGTCGAT